TGAGAGGAAATGGGGCATTGTTGGCCTAGGATCGACGGAGCGAGAAGGAGTAAGCCAACATCAAAATGATGGTTAGTTGGCTACTGCATTGATGTTAGAAAGGGTTAGGAGAGAGTAGGAGGAAGAGGTGCCGTAGATAGGTCTCTTTATGAGATAGGGGAGATAGGGAGTAAGAGGAAATGAATAAAATAAAAAAATTAAGGTTTTTTAAGTTAAAGATAAAATAAGAAAATTTAGTTAATTTTACGAGTTTTTTGAGTTGAATGTTAATATATTTAAAATTTATTTGTTCGATAAATTGAAATGATTAAATTTAAATTCGATTTAATAATAATTAAATTAATTTTAAATTTTTATTGAATCGAATTTAAATAATTTATAAGTATTAATATATAATTTATATTTTTAATATAAATATTAAATTTTTACTTTTTTATTTTTTTCAAGTAAATGAAATATAATGTACCAAATATTTATGATGCCTTACTAAATAGTTAATGCACATAACTCTACGGATTAATAATAGAGACTTTTTTTTTAGGCCAGATTTGATGTTGTGTTTGCTACATATAATTCATAGCTAAATTTAAATACAATGAATGGGAAAAAAAAAGTTTGAGCTTAAAAGAGGATTCTCTTGTGAAGATAATATTTTAGTAACATCTAATCTGACTCTAATTTATAGTAGCATTTTATTTTTATACTCTTGCATACAAATTATGATAAGGAAGTTCTTACCATGATTTTTATCAGCAAAATTTTTACTTTAATTAATTACTTTGTCTTTAATATTTAAAGAAATAGGGGAAAGATGAATTTAGTAAAAAATTAAAGAGATCAATGCCTTCTTTGTGGTGGAATAATTAACAGCTTCTTTTGCTACTTGAAAAACACCTACGTCAGTTCCTAACTATCTTGTTCATCAATCAAAAAAAAGAAAAAGAAAAGCACAAATTTTGTATTGAGCTTGGTTGTGAGTAATTGGTTGAGTAAATATGTCGTTCTTAATTCACTGAAACTTACCTTATAACAAATAATAATAATAACAATAATTAAAGAAGCAAGGAAGAAGTGAGATTTAATTAGTAAGAAAAGGATTTGATTTCTCTTAACTTTTTATTATAAAGGGCAAATGAGATGTTTTAAATGAAGTTTGTAATTTTTTTATTGAAAATAATTATATAGAATTTAAAATAAAATTTTCAAATTAATATTCACTTTTTTTAAATGTTCATCATTCATTTTTTTTAAGATAATGAATTCTTTTATTATGTTAAAAAAAAGTTAAATAATAATTTTTATATGTGAAATTTTTAAAATTTAATATCACATGAATATTATGAAATCAAAATTAGCTTTCGTATAAATGAACATTTATTATTGGATTTAAATTTTATCGGTGATTACATATTAAAATTATATCGAATGTATTATTTACAATTATTTATTTTAGATTGTAAAATACGATACATTTTATCATGATTTTATAATTAAATAATTCATTTACTTATGATTTTTTCTTTAAAAAATATATTTACTGTATTTATCCTTTTTTATACATCTATGTCTATATCTAATACTGCAAGCTCTACAATTATAGGTTTATTTACGATGATGCTTGTGCATTAAAAATAGAGAAAGCCTTTTGGTTTTTTGTCAGACAAAAGCCTTTTTAAATTACCATCGCAGAAATCGGTGCATGATAGGAAAAAATGAGTACTGTTAAAGTGCTTAAAATTGAATAGATAAAGTTAGCTTTTACTAGGTTTACATTCTGATAAAGTGCGATGATTTTTTGCGCATTTATATTATGTAATAACTATATTAAATATTAAATAGATTTATTTATAATTAATTGAATTTATGAATATAATAAATTTATGAATGATTAAATTCATAAATAATTAAATTTATTCAATTTTAATTTGGTTAATAATTAATTAATAATAAATATGAATTTAATTTTAAAATTTAAATGATATGAAACCCAAAATAAATTTATGTACAATTAATTAAATTTATGAATAATAAATTTCTATTTGCACCTATTTTTTCTGTTCACTTTTTTTTTTTCAAAATTATTTGCAAATGAGATTAGTTAATTACTTTTTCTCAAATCCCTTTCCGCTTTTAAGCTTCCATATTAATAAATTCTAAAGTTTTTAAAAGTTTTGGATTTACATATTATGAAGTTTTTAAAGTCTTTGTTTCAAATAGTTTAAATGAAAAAATTTAAAATTTACATGCATAATTTTTGTCTATCAATTTGTAAACAAATATAGAATTATTTAAAACAAATCTATTTTTTTTCTTTGTAATGGTGTAAAAAATTTTTAGGATATGAGATTTTTTTTTTCAATTTTTTTTCCTTAAATTCTAAGTATAACTTATTAAATATGAAAATTCAATAAATTATATTATTTATCAGATAAATATATTTAGTATGTTATAAAATTTATCGAACATATATATTTAAAATTTTTAAAATTGAGACGATAAAAGATAATTAAATAATTTTACTTATAATAATTATGTTATACTATCTTATTATATTTTAAATTATCAGGACTATCTATTAGGATATTATAACCCACGCTAAATACATTTGAAAGCTCCTTCTGAATTTTCTAATGACGAAATTGCTATGCCAGGACTTGTCATTACTCGAATTTCTAATTTTCTATGTTTATATGATGGGAATTCATACGTAATGGCAATTTGGACTTTGTAAGTTAACGACATAAAATTTGACGTTGGATATTGACATCACGGCCTAGACTGGACAGGTGCAACAAAGCATGGGCCCCCAAGTTTGCTCGTGTTTGAATATTTGGGTCTATTTCCGGCCTAGTTCGATAATTTAACCAAATTGTTATATATTTTTTTCAGGAGTTGACGCCAGAGTAAACGCTTTTGTCGTGTATTAAAGGACTGATCATGTCAACATTAATTCCTTTTGGAATCTTATTCCATAAATCTTTACATAATTTATATTTATTATGATTGAATAATTATAAAATTATAATAAAAAATTATAATTGATATCCTCTAATACTGTATCACTACTATTACTTTTTATAATTATCAAACGAAAATTTTGTTAACTACTACTTTGGTGCCATAAGTAATGGACAATTTTTTAACACGCTTGTTGATGGAAGTATTTTTTGTTGTTTCCTCTTGGCATTTTGGCTTATGGTTCTTATTCCCCTCTAAAATGACATAGTAATATTAAAATATATATTCCTTCGTTTTTTTCTTATTTTGCTCAAAAGCAAACAAAAATTTTCCTTCATTTTCGAAGATATGGTCTCAGCCTTTTTCTGTAGAAGAAAAAACTTCCCCACTTTAGCACTAGATAATTGTGTTCTAAGAATTTCATAATTTCAAGATTTGCAGGTCAAATGCATTATCAAAGCATAAACCAGCCTTTTTTTTTTTTAAATGAAGAATTACGAGAGGTTCGCCCTAGTCAACCCCTAGTCTTGAAGGAAAACAATGATGACTCAGACGGGACATTCCGAGACGTGCTCCAACTTAAAATACACGGCCAACAAGGCCCAGTGACAGAGGACGTCCCTCGCCATATTAAAACAACAGATTAGTAGAAAGCAAATTGGAAAATATTGGAAGGAAGCTGTAAGATTTTTTGTTTTTTTTTTTTGGCCTTGGAAGAAAATATGAGTATCATGTTTCATGATTCAATCATCCCAGAAAAATCACAGTTTTGAAAAACCGTAGTACCTGGTGACGGTGGTTCCTTTGATTTGGTCCTCCCGCAGAAACCTTCTCTCTCCTTCCTCCCCTGCTGCTAATTGGTAAAACAAGATAATTTCAGTGAAAGAGCAATCCAACATTCCCTTCTGTTCGAAATTCTCACAAAAAATTTATATATATTTATATTTGCAAAGGTTCAGTGTTACCGTTGCCGTTATTGACTCTCAGAGAAGAAAAAAACGTTTTTGCTCATTTTTTATGCTTTTGTCCCGTTGCTCTGATCTTCAACCAAAAAGCTTCCTTGTTTTCCGCTTTTGTCCGATTTTGTCTCACTGAATGCAGTTCTTGATCACCCAAAGAACAATCCAGGTAACCACTCTTTCTTTGCATTTTTAATATTTTGCTGTAGTTTGTTAACTTAATCATCTTGGAGGGTGGATCATAACGGTAATCAGGGGAGATTTTGTCTCACTGAATGCAGTTCTTGATCACCCAAAGAACAATCCAGGTAACCACTCTTTCTTTGCATTTTTAATATTTTGCTGTAGTTTGTTAACTTAATCATCTTGGAGGGTGGATCATAACGGTAATCAGGGGATTCTTGGCCCCCAAAATTTTGTAATCTCCTAGTGTGTTATATATCTATATATATACATATATATATATGTATATGTATGTATATGAGAAGAGATCAATTTATACAAAAAAATAATTATTTTTTTAATTTTTGATTTTAATAGATCTAAAGAGATTAAATTTTTTTTTTTTTACTTATCTATCTCATCATGTATATCTATTAAAATCAATTATTAAAAAAATATAAAACCTTTTAGTTTTATACTTCTTTTAACCATTAGTTTCAATAAATTCAAAAGATGAAAGAGACAAGTTACAAAGAGAAATATAGTTTAGTTTCATTTCTTGGATTAATTGAAATAATTAATTTGAAAAAAATGTTTTAATTTGTTTAATAATTGATTTCAATAGATATAAGGATGAGATTAAATCATTTTTTTTTAACTTTTGTCTTTCATCCTTGGATCTATGGCAATTAATAGTTAAAAAAATATAAAAACTAAAAAAATTTTATATTGGTCTAAGTTGAGCCTCTCTCTCTCTATCTATATATATATATAAAGTTAAATTGACACCTCAAATTAAATGTTTGTTTGTTCATTTTTTTTGTTTTAAATGTTATAGTAATTGTTTATAAATATGCTTTTTTCCTGGTTGTTGGCCTTTTTTTGCTACTTCTGATTTTATCGCCCATTTTTTAGTCATTGTTTGATCTGCATCTCCTGTTATATCACTATTTAATTTATCTATATGGAATTTATTTGTGGTTGAATTTTTTTTGCCCAATTTTCATGAACGTTTTTTGTTATTTTTTGTGGTTTGATTGTTTGATTTTCGAGGTTTTGATTTTTTTTGTTAAATGCTTTTATAGATCTTGATTCGACGAAATTTTGGCTCTTTTAAAAATGGAGCGCAAGACTATTGAATTGGATCAAGGATGGGATTATATGCAGGAGGGGATCAGAAAGCTGAAGAGGATTTTGGAAGGACTATCTGAGCCTCCATTTAGCTCAGGAGAATATATGATGCTTTACACGTATCCATAATTACTTATTTTCAGTTTTGTTGGCTTTTTTAAGCCGTTTAGTTATTATTTGTAATTATCTGGTATTTTTTCTTTGTTGGTGGCCAAAAAATTTAACTGGAATTTTTTATGCTAATTGTCTTTCCTTATTTGGAATTACTGCAGTACTATCTTCAACATGTGTACTCAAAAGCCGCCACATGATTATTCTCAACAGCTTTATGACAAGTATCGACAGGCATTTGAAGAATATATGACTTCCACGGTAAGGAATTTGGCGTTATGGCAGCCATCGGTTGCTGACCACTGATCTGAGTATAGATAGTTTAGTGTTTTATTTAAAATTCAGTTTATTTTGTAGGTATAGTTTTACTGCTAAAATTTCGAGGATGTTAATGTAATTGGTCCTCTCTTTGTAAAATCTTATTGAAATCCTCATATGTTTTTCTTTATGGTATGACAAAGGGATTAGACCAGCATCTTTACGATGCATATTTTAAGCTTCTATATTGCTAGAACTTTGGTTGCATTTGTTTGATGTTCTATGGATTATATTGTTGTTTAAAGATTTCAGTTCCTAGTTTCCTTTGTTAATTTCTTTTTAAGTCTGGTTTTATTGTTGGATACTTTTTTAAATCTTTCTTTTAATAGTTTTCTGCTCAATAGAAACCCTATGAAAGTTATTTATCCATCATCTACATTGTGTGGTAAATATCTGTTGGTCTCAAATTTCCTCCTTTCTGAAAATCAGGTATTGCCATCTTTAAGAGAGAAGCATGATGAATTCATGCTGAGGGAGTTTGTTAAAAGATGGGCAAACCATAAAGTAATGGTCAGGTGGCTAGCACGATTCTTCTATTACCTTGATCGCTACTTCATTGCACGGAGATCACTTCCTGCACTTAAGGAAGTTGGGTTCACCTGCTTCCGTGATCTGGTTCGTTATTAGTTCTTCTAATGACACCTATATCCAATACAAATATGCTGTAATGTATGCTGCCCATTATTTCAAATATACTTTTAACTCATTGTTTTCTATCCGTTTTATTAATTTCAGGTATATCAGGAAGTGCATGCCAAAGTCAGAGATGCTGTAATTGCCCTTGTAAGTTTACATCATTGCATCATGGTTTATTGTATTTTTGGTTGCATTTTGAATAAAAACCTGAGTAATGGTTTCTTCGTATCAGATTGATAAAGAACGTGAAGGAGAGCAAATAGACCGAGCATTACTGAAGAATGTGTTAGATATTTTTGTTGAGATTGGCATGGGACAAATGGATCGTTACGAAGATGATTTTGAAGCAGACATGCTTGAGGATACTGGTGCGTACTATTCACGAAAGGCATCAAGCTGGATTGAGGTAGATTCTTGTCCGGATTACATGTTGAAGGCAAGTGCTTAACTGTTTAGTTTTTTTTTATAGGTTAGAAGTTATTCACCCTGATTAACATGGATGGTTCTAAAAGATTTTATTTTAATGATAATTGCAGTCTGAAGAGTGCTTAAAGAAGGAAAGGGACAGAGTATCTCATTACCTGCATTCAAGCAGTGAGAAGAAATTGTCAGAGGTCAGTTGAATGGTTGGAAGTTTATAGGTTAATGAAGAGATTTTTCTGTTGCCTAAGTTTGGCTTGATGGTGCACTTTTTCTTCTCCTTAGAGAAAATCTGTTTAATTGTCTGCTGTAAGAGTTGACTTAAATGAATATTGTTCGATGCGTGAAAGTTGTCAGTAAGCTGTTACAATAGAAATTGTGTGAATTATCTTTAGGTGGGAAGATCTGGTTGTTTTATCTATTTTCTTCAAGCTACCTAGAAATTGAGATTTCAAGTTTTTGATGTATCTAATTACGTGGAATATACAGTTTCTATGAAGACAGCTCTATAATTCCTAGACCACTTTATTTATAGCCTTTTGTTGTTTGTCTAGAAAGTGCAACATGAGTTGTTGGTCGCATATGCAAATCGTCTACTTGAAAAGGAGCATTCTGGATGCAGGGCCTTGCTTAGAGATGACAAGGTATATTGTTCAACCTTGTTTCTTTGCTAGCAATGCTTACTCTTCTGGCTGTTTGTTTTGGTAAATGTATAAATGAGATAGTTATTTGACTTTGTTTACACTCTGTAGGTGGAGGATCTTTCTAGGATGTACAGGCTTTACTGTAAAATACGTCGAGGCCTGGATCGTGTTGCTAATATGTTCAAGCAGGTCTGAATTTTCTCTTTACAATATTCTGCATGCTAAATGGCCATCTTTTTCTTAGTACTTTATGATTTTACTGACTCTCTCTGAGCATTTTCTTTTTGCAGCATGTTACTGCTGAAGGTACAGCCTTGGTTCAACAGGCGGAAGATGCTGCAAGTAACCAGGTTAATTTTGTTATTGTCCTCCTCTGATAGCAAGTATTGGTTCAACAGGCCATTTAGATAGTGGGTATAATTGCTGGATACATTTATTGATTTCCTTATGTCCTGAAGATATTCATGAAGATTTTTGCTAGATAGTAATTGTGTGCTTGTGATGGGATGAAATCTTTTTCTTTTAAACTAACAGAATAGGTGCAAGAATAATATTTAAGCCTATATCTGGCATGGTGTTTATTTATATTCATTGATTATTGTAGTTGTAAAGTTCTCTTAACAGTTAAGTTTCACATGCCAACTGCAAACTTTTCCTTGTTATTTCTCTTTAGGAAAAACAGGGAAAGAGTTAAATCCAACTACCACGGACTAAGATTTTCCTATTGTTGGGGGATAAATAGATAGTAATCTACATAATTTATAGTTTGAATATTCACCTGTCTGGTTCTAAGTGCTGATAGTCAACCGTATTTCCACAGGCCTCAAATGCTCCTGGTGTGCAGGAACAGGTAAATATCCCAGCTTTTACAGCAATGGATTCTCTTGCAATCAACATAAATGTTGAAAATTGGTAGTGTTGTTGTCATCAGGTCCTTATCAGGAAAATAATAGAGTTGCATGATAAGTATATAGCATATGTGACTGACTGTTTTCAAAACCATACTCTGTTCCACGAGGTTTGTGTTGGAATACCTAAATTTGTAATATGGATCATGCTCAATCATTTCATCTAACACATGCCTTGTTGAAATGTTCAATAGGCCTTGAAAGAGGCTTTTGAGGTATTTTGCAACAAAACTGTTACTGGAAGCTCAAGTGCAGAGCTTTTGGCTACTTTCTGTGATAATATTCTCAAGAAGGGTGGAAGTGAGAAATTAAGTGATGAAGCCATTGAAGAAACACTCGAGAAGGTAGCTTTATCAACCGTTTGGTGCTAATTTTATGGTAATCTGAAATTGATTCTGAGTTATCTGTTTGGTTTCTGCAGGTAGTTAAGCTGCTGGCCTATATTAGTGATAAAGACCTCTTTGCTGAATTCTACAGGTGAGGCTATTTTTTTTTTTTGTCAATTAGTTTCATATCTATCAATTAGTTTCTTATATACTTGTTAAAAAAATTGTAATGGCATGAGTATATATGATACATTTTGATCCTAATTTTATGGTGTGCAATCATTGACAGGCAGAAGCTTGCTCGGCAACTGCTTTTTGACCGCAGTGCTAATGATGATCATGAAAGGAGTATTCTGACTAAGCTAAAGCAACAATGTGGTGGACAGTTCACCTCTAAGATGGAGGGCATGGTAGTCTGCCTGGGTTTTGCCTAGTTTATTTGTTTGGCATTGATTATGGTTTTAATTGTGATGAAACTTGTCTTCTACCTTCCTAACAGGTCACAGATCTGACACTGGCAAGGGAAAACCAGGCCAGCTTTGAGGACTATCTTAGGAATAACTCTGCTGCACATCCTGGGATTGACTTGACAGTTACTGTTCTTACCACAGGATTCTGGCCAAGTTATAAATCATTTGATCTCAATCTCCCTGCTGAGATGGTAATAATGACTTTGAGCATGTTATTGCACGATGACAGTATTAAATTTCTTACTCCAGCTTGTGTTCAGAAATTTTATTTATACTTGGGAATATCATTGTTTCAGGTCAAATGTGTGGAAGTTTTCACAGGATTTTATGAAACAAAAACAAAACACAGAAAGCTTACATGGATATACTCACTGGGAACTTGCCACATTAATGGCAAGTTCGAGCAAAAAATTATAGAATTGATTGTTTCAACTTATCAGGTAAAAATTTGTGATTTGGGTTGGATTCTTATCTGACGGTTCTGGCGTTCAGCTTCGAACTTTGTGAAATCTAATTTTCAGTTGCCTATGTGAACAGGCTGCTGTCCTTCTGCTTTTTAATGCTTCTGATCGGCTGAGCTATTCAGAGATCATGGCTCAGTTGAACTTGACCCATGATGACTTGGTCAGACTACTACATTCGCTGTCATGTGCCAAGTATAAGATTCTAAGTAAAGAGCCAAACACAAAAACGATTTCCCAGAGTGACTACTTTGAGTTCAACTCTAAGTTTACTGACAAGTTGAGGAGGATTAAGGTCTGGGACATTTTTTGCAACTCTCTCTTTTATATTATTGTTGCTTGCAGTATCTATTGGGATGATAAGTTTTTAGCTTTGGAAATAAACATGTAAATTATGCTATGTAGATTCCTCTCCCTCCTGTGGTTGAAAGGAAGAAAGTTGTTGAAGATGTTGATAAAGATCGGAGTCATGCTATTGATGCCGCAATTGTGCGGATAATGAGGAGCAGGAAAGTTTTGGGCCAGCAACAATTAGTAAAAGAGTGTGATGGGCAGTTGAGTCGCATGTTCAAGGTATTTATATATGTCAACCCTTCATGTGTAGTTTATGAGAGAAACGTTTAAAAAATAAAAAGTTAGAAGACAAGGTCTACTATGAGATTTGGTTAGAAAGGTAAAAAATGGTTGGGATCTCATATTCGTTTGCACTTGACATGATGCTTGTATCCGAGTCACAATAGGTGATGGATTTTTATTTAAACGAAAAGGGATGAAATGGGGAGAATGGGGTTATCACATTGGATAAGAATATTGATGTTCGAAGGTGTATGTGATCAAACACATGCATGGAAATAGAAGGAAGTAAATAGATGATTGGTCCTTTAATGTAAAAGCAAAAGAGATGAAACAAGGGGTAGTGATTGGAGTTTCTTAGCACCAAAATGACCGACAACCAAGTCATTATTATTATTATTATTTTTGGGGGTCAAATTGCCACAAGCTTCTTATGATGTGCTTGGAATTTGCAGCCAGATATTACAGCCATCAAAAAGCGGATGGAAGATCTAATCACACGAGACTATCTGGAGAGACACAAGGAGTATCCAAACATGTATAGGTATTTGGCCTAAAATTGGTCTTTGCAAATGGTACATGGGAAGTGGTGCAGTCAGAGATGATTTATCCTCCACTGAAATCCTGCATTTTTTTTGGTAGTATCATGTAAAGCTCAAGAAAGTTTTAATTGTCTATTTAAATTTTATTATTGGTATTAATATTACCATTAGTAGTTCACTTTTTGAGAAAAAATAGTTTCTTTTCCATAAAAATCTGGTAGCAATGGACAATGGTAGGTCCAGACATTGTACTACTAATAAAATTTAAAACCAAACTTAAAATTACGGAAGTATTTGTAAACATGTAATAAATATTTGTTTATCCTTTATCGGTAGTAGGCTCAATTGATAGGATCGGGTGTTTTTCGACGCAAGTGGTTTTGTTGTTCTTTTATGTTATTGGATATGATATATTTTGATTTGATTTAAGGGATTGAGGAACGTATTTATAGAATTGATAATTTAATTCAAATTTATTGGATCTTGATCGATTCAATTTGATTTTATAAGGATTCAACTTGATTTTATAAGATAAATATCGATTTAATTTGATCTTATAAAATAAGGGATATTTTAGTTGGATTTTAGATTAGGTTGAATTTTTTTTTTTTAAATCAAACTCAGATTAGGTTGAGTTTTAAGTAAATTTATCTTGATCTGAATGGATATATATATTATTTATATAATTGTATATTTATATATTTATATATATTTAAATTTTATATTTATATTAAAAAATAATATTTTATATTAAAAAATAACATTATATAAATATTTTTTGTTATTTATTTAATGTTATATTTATATATTTTTAAAATTTTATATTTATATTTTAAAATAATATTTTGTATTAAAATGTAGCATTTTATCAATTTTAAATCGAATCGATTATAGTTTTATAGGTATACAAATTTAATTGGGTATAAGAATAATATTTTAAAATCAAATTCAATTAGATTCGAGTATTTAGTATATAAATTGAATTGAATTCGGTGTAAGTAAAAATCCGATTCAACCTAATTGATTACCATTTTTATTATCTACATTTGAATTTTTTTCACATCTCAAATTTGTATTTTATCCTTCATTAATAGAAGGTAAATAGTAGGTTCAAATGATTGGATCATTCTTCTTGATGTAAGTGGTCTTAGGTTGAAGTTTAACATAATTTGTAGTTTAGCATAGTAGGTCCAATCCGAATTCATCGGATTTTGACCCGATCTTATAAAATAAGATTTTTTTAATCGAGTTTTAGGTTGAGTTGAAATTTTTTTTTTTTTTAATGTGAGTCGAGTTTTAGGTAAATACATTTTGACCCAATATGATATATATAAATATTTTTTATTATTTATTTAATTTTATATTTATATATTTTTTAATTTTATATTTATGTTTAAAAATAATATATTTTATATTTAAAAAATAATATTTTATTAATTTCAAATCAAATCAATTACGATTTTATACATATACGAATTGGATCAAATATAAAATAATATTTTAAAATTAAATCAAATTGAATTTAAATATTTAATATATAAAATTAGATCGAGTTTAATTTTAACAAAAACTTATCTCGATTCAATCTATTACCATTCAATTTTCTACCCTTAACTTTTTCAACATAAAAAAAAAAATCTCACTGTAAGTCAAAAAGGGTTTGTTTACGGTAAATCTATGACAACGACTGCACAATCTTTGAATCAAGTGTGAATTTTCAATTTTGAGAAATTTAAATAATTTATTATATAAAATTTTTTTCCATTAGAATAATGAGATTCAAATTTTCGTTTTAGGACCTAAACCTTCTTTAACTATTAGATAAAAAAACTGAAGATATTTATGATATAAAATTTGTTTGGTATGTTTTGAAAAATTAAATTTTTATTTTTTATTAATTATTTATAAAATAAAGATATGATTTTATAATTGCTTTTAATGAATAAAAGTAAGAAAAAGAAAGAATAATTAAAAAAAAATAAAATTAATGTAACTAAATAATATATATTTTTAGAAATCATAAGTGGAATATTATAACTCTACTTTTTCATAAATATGACTTGAAAGCGATTGATAAACACAACAACAATCCATCAAATGTGGAAGGTCAAAGTTACCGAGATACATAACCAAAAGCGGCTCCAATTTTATTGATGAAGAGACTTCGAATAATAAATGTCATTGTTATGCCTATGCCTATGTACATTCGGAGAAGAAGAGCAATAATGATTTAAAAGTAAGGGTCAAAATTGTCCTATAAATGTTACCTATAGATTAGCAACAGAGATATTTAGGGGTTGAAAGGAGGGCGGACAAGGAGCAATTTCGCCATCGATCCTTAGACAGCGTCGCTGTTCATGCAGCTGCCCAAATTATTCAACCTGAAATCAAATGATGTTGGGTAATTAGTACTCATCAAAGTGTCTAACAGGCTAACAAATAGATCCAGAGAGTGCAGCACAACATCAACTGCTAAATTCAACAAACAGATGTGTCAACACTCATTAATGCAATGGTAATTTGTTCACTGGCGAGTCACCTATTCAATCATTGAATGATCTCATATTTTTCAAAATTTGCTTGATAAGTTACTCTCCTAATGTATAAAAATGAGTCAGCCAGATGGTGTCACACAGTAAAAGGTTAAGGTTCCCAATAATATATGGACATGAATTTAGATTACTGGCTTTGTTTACCACTATGCCCATGGTGGTTGGAGTTAAGCTACAGCTCAAACTCCATTGAGGTACCTCACTTGCAGCCAGCATCATCAGGCCTCCTTGAAGAAAGGCCAATTATCAGCATATTTTATAGACTCCTGTAGCGATTACTTGCGAGAACTTCTTTAGTCCACTAATGAGAGTTATTAAAACTGTTTGCCCCTCCTAAGTCCAACAATTTGTAGCAAGAAATTTAGAAGAGAATAGCCATTTAATAAATGAAGAATAATGGCTCCTGAAAGAGATTTTACCTATCAGCAACAAGATGGCCAACTTGAGGACAATAGCACTTGCCACATTCCAAATTGAGAACCACTCAAAGATATGTTTATGATACATAAATATTTACTGCCATAAGAATAAGAACGGTTAGAAGCAACTGTATGCCAAAGCACTAGAGCAGAACATGAAGCAATCAAATAAACAACAAAGATTACACCAACCTTTTAAGGGAAGAAAAAAAGGAATTTCTGCAACCTTGTTTGGATCTCTACCACGGTGATTTTGCACCAAATATTTTTGGCCTGTATTCTTTCAACTCATCTTGATTAATCATAAGTATATACCATGACAGGTACTACAGCAGCTGACCTGCACAAAAACAAATAATGACGGTAAAAATGAAAGAATACAGAAAACAGAAATCAAAAAGGAAAAGGAAAAGGACAAGGACAAGGAAAAAGGAAAGAAAATTAACTCAATGTAGCAAATTTTATTTTTAAGGACGAGTAGCAAACCTGAGAAAGCCAACTATAGTGATTTGCTTCATGGTGCTTGAAATGAGAAAACAGCAGTCCCTATGGCAAAAGAGCAAGCACATGCTGCTGTATATCACTGTATTTCCTAAAGAGGTCTCCAAGTAAAATAGCATTAACAAATTAATTAGTCAGGTGAACTAAAACTCCCTCCAGGGAACACTGACGCCAAAATAATGGCAAACTCTACTATTGGAATTTCTACCAATCCACCTCAATCTACTATTGTTGGCTTCTCTATCTTTATACAAAATTATTTCTTCAACTACAATTCTTTTTGAGCATAATCACCTATTTATACAACTTAGAAAACTTTTGCATATAAACCTTATGAATCACAAGTCCTCAATACCAACTTGAGAAGGAAATTAACAGGGCTTGTCCCAAGTCAGAATGCAGTTGCAGCTTGTGAAAGAATATACTGAAAATCCCAGATTTATCTTGTCATACATGTACAGTGAGTTTTGGAAAGCAGGCACTTGCCAGTTTTTCGCAGAAGGAAGAACTGCCCTTCCCCTTTTCTTTTTGCCCTCTAGGACTTCATACCCAAAGATATACCATCAAAGTGAAATTTCCTCCTAGTATAAAATCATCCTCACCAACCAGATTTGTTTTCTTAATGGCTAATGGCTTCCATTGCCACACGTACCAAGTGTAACAGTCCCTCTACGTCTTGGAAGTTAAAATCAAGAGCTTTTTTCACAGAAGATATAACCTCCCCATTTTCAGCCCCTCCCAAACTTGAATTAGCAACTCCAAAAGCAATTCGTGATTTCCTTGAAGCTTCAATAGCATAATTTACATCCTGTGCCTGTAAATCATCACATTTGCTTTTGGTTATGATAGATCACTACACTAAAATAAGATATACAAGCCGTAATGCACAAAATGATATGATGTAGGTAGTAAGAGAGAGACAACAGACACAGTTCATGGGCATGACTACAAAACCTTTTTGTGCTTGAAAGCACAAAGCTACTAGAGCATATGTGCAATTTCAACATACAGAAATCAGTAGACTATGGGTCAAGGTACAGAGAGTAGAAAAGGTTTGAGAGAATGAAAAAAATTTTGGGCATTAGACCAAAAAGAAAAACAGTTTTGGGGTAAAAGGTGTGGGTGAGTTGGGGGGGGCATAGGTGTGCAATAAAGCTTTCACTCTCGTACCATACTAAGATGCATGAATTACACTTTCAAAATTATAAACAAGCAAAATTACACTTACAAAATTGAGCAAGCGCACAAAGTTAGGACGGTTTCGAGCAGAAATAACATGATTTCCGGCAACCTGGGGAGAGTTAACACCTTTTGGAAAAACAACCTTGTCTGCTGTTGTTGGGTGGCTTAAATTATCAACATCAGAGGCAGAAGAAGAAGGAGACTCACCTAATTGAAAACAACAATCCATATCAAGAAAAGAAATTAAATTCACTGTCAGTTTGTCTCATTCAGTGCAATATTAACATTATTTATAAAGAAATTAATGTCCATAAAGGAACATACAAAAGAAGGTGATAAAAGGGGCTGGGGTGACTGAGGACTGACGAGTAGGTTTACTTGAAAATATTCATATGTCAGCATACCAACATGGCATGTCCAAACTTAGTTAGGAGCCAAATTTGTAAAAACTAGTACATCTTACATGTCAAATAGCAACTAGTACACTGATGATTTACAAACTCATGTTCTCCAACTAAAACAAAACAACAAATATGCATATCTGTGTGTGTCTATGTGAACAAAAAACAACCAGAAGGACATTCTGTCTGAAGATTCTTCGATTTAAAGATACCAAAAACACATTCATGGTATGTAAGCAAGAAAACTAATCATTCATGCAGAGAAATAGAGGTCTTCTCACAAATTAAGCAACAAAATTCCAGAGTAAATATCATAGGCTGGTGCTCCCTGACTGCTAAGTGTAGAAGTGCCAGTAAACAACAACTTACAAGTTTATACGCTACACAGACTAGCAGGAATAATTTCAGCTAGTAGAATCTCTTGATTCTTTGAATTACCAGGAGGAACCATTTGTAAAGTTGTCTGCAACTCATGTCGATCTCTACTTGCATTGGCATGAGAGGAATAGATGACTCTCATATATGCCACCTCCATACACTTGTAGGCCAAAGAAGCAGCGGCCATGTCCTTTAGTCTCTCATATTCATGGGCACAAAACCTGAAACATTAATTGGTAAACAAACAAACATAAAATTAAGCACCATGAAAATGAAATCATCCCAATCAAAAGCAGTAACGTAAGATTCCATGTTGCAAGAAATTTTTCAACTAAAACAAGATCAAGCTCCAACAAAGTGTTACAAAGAGAAGAGAACACCAAGTAGAGCACCTAACGTTTAACTTACTCGCAAAGTTTTGCAGTGCTACTATATATTTGCACAGACTGAATCATCTCTCCATGTTTGGTACTCTCACTGTTGCAAGATTCTACTAGAGAAGCGCTATGAAGAAACTTCAGTGCTGCTTGGAAGTAGAAGGCAGTGCTCTCCCCATTTGATCCAGAGTTCTGAGGGAAGTTTTAAAAGTTAAAAAAAAAAAAAGCTTACTGAAGGGTAGGTCAAAAGAAAAATGGGACAAATAAGTTACAAGAAAACAGTAAAGTAAAACCTTAACACGATCAGCCAGATGCTTTAAATCTTTAGCCTCCTTCAAAGCATTGGTAGCTGCCTGATTTGAGGATTCCTTTCTCATTGGACTTGGGGCATCAACATCCCTGATCCTACATCCACCTGATGTAATATGCCTTGAATTACAGTGCTGAGTCCCATTTTGATGATCAGCCTTTTTTATTTGTTTTTGTACCTTCAATGCATCACTACCTTGAGATCCATCAGCTCCATTTCCCTTTTGGGACCCAGAAACTGGCCGGGGGAAACAAGACAGCATCTCATTTGGGGTTCCTCCAGAGGGTGGTAATGATATTGAGTTCCCACTCCCAGAAGCAATTTCTGCGTGATCTGATTTGTCAGAGTGGAACCTCTTGGTATATTTTTCACCATTGCTGTCCTGCATAATATTCTGCTTCACAGCAGACATTACATCTTGACCTCCAGTGGCATCTGGTTTAGCATCTGAAGGACCAACATTTGATTGATTTTCTCTTTTACTAGTCTCACCGGACAATTTCCCAAGAGATTCTTTATCATCAACAAATCTATTCTCACTTTCATCAGACTTGACTCCAAGCCTCTCCTGAATTTTATTTATACCATCCCTATGTTTTACCTCATAGAAAGGCACACGTTCTTGCTGTTCATCAACAGAATCAGATTTAAAATTACGACTCCTATCCTTTGACCATGAGGATCCCTTACCTGACTTCCTTGGCTGAGAGAAATTGGCACTGCCATGGTTGTCATTCTGGTTTTTTTCATCACAGGGTTCATCCATTTTTGTTGATTTACCAGCACAGTGAACCTCTTGGCCTAAATAATCAACAACACCATTCATAAACTGGCCTTTTTGGATATCAGGAGAAGACTCAATAAGCGTCTTAGCTTTACTACCACCTACTTGACCACCATCCTTATCCTGAACATCAAATACAGAGGACTCAAGGGACCCATGTTGAGCTGTAACAGAAGTCTTTTCCTTTACCATCCCTGACCTGTCACTCCTACCATTATTTTCACCATCTGAGCCTCTTCTTGGACTACTTGCAACAAAAAGACCAGCATCATGAGACTCATCTTTCCCTGCAACATTCCTCCTCGTAGATGGAAGTTTATCTGGCTTAGCAATTCTCATAGGAGATGATGAAACTGATTCTACTGGTGAGCCTTTTATTTCATGGAAGCCAGGTTTTGATTTATGTGAATCAGATTTTGATTTACGTGAACCAGAAACCTTAGATGAGCTTGAGGTAGCTGCTAAAGAAGGTTGGGCAGATCCAAAATCCCTTTTCAATGAATCCATACCATCCAAGCTCCGTGGGGACAGAGTGCTACCTCGATCTTGCCCACTTCGGTGATCCTTTGTATGTCTATTTTTCTTCTCCTGTTTGCCACTGCTTTTCCTTGCAGAGGAATCCTTCCCCCCAGACTTAGATACCCTAGCCTTCTTTTCCCTCCTGTAGTCATTCTCGCTGAACTCTTCCTTCACAAACACTCTGCTATCCTGTAGGTGATTACCCATACTTTGGAGGGATCCTGTATATAATTGACTATCAATACATTCATCAACTTTCCTCTTTATTGAAACTTCGCCACCATCACAATTCACCAGATCTAGTGATCCATTAGTTAAGGAAACCTGAACTTTGTTCTTTGGTCTTTTACCAGAGACCCATTGCCTGTCCTTATCTAACTTCAAATCCTTATAAGAAGAATGTTCACTGTGTTTAGGTTGATCCTTTCCTACAGATGTGGTAGGCAAACAATTACTTGCACTAGGCCCACCCTTACCAGCATGCTTAAACATCCAATCTTCGTCAGCAAGATGCAAACTTTCAGCTTTAATTCTCTTGGAGGCCCTTAAAGAATCTTGATCAGTGATCCTTTTGCCCTTCATCTTTGAAGTTTTGGCATCTCCTATTTGCATATTTTATAAAAGCAACATATTATATGTTTTAGAAACAAGTTCTACAAGCACAATAAATATCTGTTTAAGAAGAATACCTCCATCAGAACTGTGTTCCGACACTTTTTGCTTCTCTTTGTGCTTATTTTTGTGTTTCTCGACAGGCAAATCACATTTGCTTAGATGCTGTAAACCAGGTTCACCTACAACAAGAGATCGAGTCACATCAGTTAGGGTTCCAGATCAGACTAATAACTGCATGTTCTTCATCATAGGAGTTGGCCCACCTTTATCCATTGCATTTGCTATTTCTTTTAAACCATGTTTCTTCCTTCCAGCAGTTGGTGTGGCATGTGAACCAAAATTTCGTTGGTTCTGATCAGGTTGCAGGGCATCAGCTGAGGGTAATCTGGACATAATACTGCCGGGATTACTTGGCAGATTAGTTTGACTCTCTAAAGCAGGAACTTGATACAATGCGAAAACAGCTTTAGTAGTTTCCTCCTCATCAACACTGCAGCGATTCATTGCAGGCCTAAACATTTACAAGACAAACAACATTAGAGATAAAAATAGGAGATATCTTTCCACAATTCATCACAAAGTTAACTTTCAACACCAACGGTCTCATGTTCAGTCCAACACAATTTTAGCAATACATATGGATGAAAAAACTTACATTTATAAAAATTTAGAAGCATTGCTGATAAAGAACTTACAGCCAGTTAAGCATGCTGCATAACCACTTCTCGGGTAAGTCAGCAGGATTTATGCTAATTGGAAGAAGACGCCACTTCTGGCACTTATCACAACAAACCCAATTTTCTTTTATCAATACAGGGGCTGCAGTTGCAAGGGAATTTCCAGCAACATTCACATTGGCAGTGTTAGAAGCACCATCCACAGTTGCTCCAGCGTATGATTCATTTGCCAATAAATCCTCAGTTTTTTTACCACTTAGTCTATCATTATGTGCAAAGTTAATGGCTGATACATTTTTTTCAATCTTATCAGTTTCCTTCAGCAGATCTTCAGAATGAATTTCCAATGAACGCGTTTGGTTCTCTTCCTGTTCTGATTCTCCGACATCTCCAAAGAAATCTCTATACCTATCTTCAGCCTTTCGAAAAGGCCTTTCTAATTTTTGGTCTCCTGATTCCCTTTTGTTTATATAATTGTTCACATGAGCAGTCTGCTTATTTTTCAGCATCAAAGAAGAACCAACCCTCAAGCTCTCTTTTGGTACCTCTACAGCTAAACTGCCATGATCCTGACTGCCTTTCGATTTTCTTCTTCCACCAGAAGAGGTATACTCCTTTGCAGAAGGCAACTTAATATTGTCTTGCTCATGCAATGTAGCTCTCTGAATGATCTTCTGCTTGAGTGGATCTACCAGTTCACTATTTAGAGCTTTGCCACCTTTTCGCGTATTAGAGTCGGTTTTGACAAAATCAAAAGTTTTTTCTGCTTTATTATACCCATCTTTTCTTGCATAGCCAGAAATATCATCCGGAACGCTTGTCTTCTGTTCCTCCAAAACCTTTCCAGCTGAACCAGCCCTCTGATTCTCCCAGCCAATCTCTTGGGAAAGTATTGGCTCCATGGACTCCCCCATGGCTGCGTCATGGACACCTTTGTTTCTTGCTATGCTCTTATTTTTTACCTTGTCAACAGCAGAAAATGAATTAGATAAAAGAGGAAGCTTCAATGTTTTTGAAACAAGCTCCTCACAAGCCATTGTGTCAATATCTACTTCTGTCTTTGACACAAGACCATTCTCATTCCTTGTTACCCTGTTATTGCCACTCTTTCTTTCTTCTGGAAAATCCATTTTCTCCACTGACCTTGCCTTCTTGTCTCCCAATACTATTCCATCACCCTTTCCAGAATCAGATCTATTCTCTTTTGGAATCTTCTCCTTTACAGTCAAGTTAAGCAGATGATCAGGGAGAGGTGATAGTAGTGCCTCACCAGGCACTGGGAAGGAAGTCATAAGCTGCTCCAGGGAAAAAAAAAAAAAACTGTTCACTTTAGGTACATCAAATGTAAGAAGATACAAGATTAAAGAAAAAAAGAAACATTCTATTTATGGGAAGATTAAAAAAATAGTAAATGGAGGATTTACCCGAAGAAAACTGGTTGGAGATTCAAATAACGGCTCTTGAGTCTCTCGATACATCCCTTCACTTTCTGAAGGGCTCCCATCTAAGGAGGAAGATGGTGAGACGTCAAGGCCAAGACCACTGTAGATTGCAGCATTCTTTTGTGTTGAGAAGTTATCTGAACCCACTTTGATTCGCACCTTCAATGTTTTCTGGTCTGGCAGATTGGTATCTTTCTTGTTTACAAATCCGCACCTAGAGGCAAGCGCATCATCGTGAGTAGATGTTAAGCTGACCTCTTGTTTAATCGAACCACATGCAGACAGTAACTTCAAAGCAGGTAGAGTTCCAAAATTTGTAGGAGGGGTTCCAGACCTCAGTGACTGAGAACCACTAGGCCAACATGCTGAGTTATGACGGCCATCCTATATAATTAAACAAAATAAGTGCTCACTTTAACTTGGACTTCACAAATGAACCAAGATCCTGAGAAAGATTCCTCTCTTATATGAAATGAACTATATTTCCAGAGGGAGGGGGGAAGAGACAGATTGAGAAAAACTCTACCTCCAGTTGCATATTGTTTGGGGATCCAGGTGCATTGCAGCTTTGAACTTTTGTTGGACTCTTCAGGCGTGACCAACCAGGAGAACGTGGATAAGTAGGTAAGAATGATCCATATCCACCAAATTTTGCGCCTGTGGCAATGTCAGCAATCCCAGAAATCATCAATTTCAAGTTATAAACTCCAAATTATGGTGACTCTTGACCTCACTAGAACCATGATTCTCTGTTTGTTTTAACTTACCCAGATTCTCTACAGAAACTCCACCTTCAAAATCTTTTTGCAAATGTCCAAGAACATGCTGAATTTTCTCATCCTTCAAAAACATTACAGGAGCCACATATCACTAAGAGATCATAAAACATAAAGTAAGAGACTGAGAACAAGTATCAGACATGAAATAAGACAATGGGAAAGGTCTACAAACATATAGTCCTATGTCGTACTGTTAGTGGCAAATCCTCTAGAAGCAGTAATACACCGTGAGGCTATAAGCTAACTAATGTACTTGAATCTTACCCTCCTAACTTCCAATTAGGAAATCCCCGAGCTACATTCAAGATTACCATAATTAGACATCACCCACCTTACACGGGAACAAATTTAAGAATAATGCCTTCTCTAGTAAACAGGTATACAACTGATATCCAGCAACTCAAAAAACCCTGAAACTGTTAATACACCACTACACGAAAAAGCTTCATTCATGACATCGCTAGACACGTGGTGGAAAACAATTCTCTTCACTTAATTAAACCTCCTAAAAACTAAATTCTCCAGATACCTCCATCATAAACCAAAACATAAATTGCAACACTAGAATAAAAAACTAAAATACCAATCCATACCTTATATTTCTATAAGCAACACTCTTAAACAGTAAAGACATTTAAATCGAAGTTACAATATCCAACATTGCAATTAATCGGCATAAAATATGTTAATGTTTTAACTTTGGATCTAAAACCCAACAAAAATAAATAAATAAGAACAAGTCAACACATTTACACATTAGTTAACAAAAACAAAGGAAAGCTTTTTACAGTTCTGAAAAAGAAGAGCCAAATTTTCTTACAATGTAAGAGAGAGAAGATAGATCATTTACGGGGTCGGTGATGCCATCATAATCATCGTTATTGTTATTATAAGAGCAAGCCTCTCCTTCTTCAAGCTCAGCCTCTTCCATTTCTCTACCACCAAGCCCTAACCCTAGCCCCTTCCTCGCATCGTTACTCCCTATGGAAATCATTCGACAAAAAATAAAATTAAATTAAAAAAAAAAAGTAAACCTCTCCCCAATTATCAAGGTCTCAAACGCAATTTTCTATTATTCGATGCACAGAAGTTTCTCCCAACCACTATTTACAACTCCCTAAAACCCACCAAAGAGAAAGGGGGACTTTTGCCCTAATTTCGATCAGCAACAGAAACTCGATCACCAATCCAAACACCTAACCAAAATTTTAAAACGGTTCAACTTACCCAAACAAAAAAAGCGAATTAAACACAAGGATCTCTGGAAATTAGTTTTTTGGGTTCGACCTCTTTAGCTGGAATCGATAAGCACAGAGACAAGGAGAGAGAGAGCGAGAGAAAGAGAGGGACTCTCTCTGGTTTTGGTGTAAGAGCAACCGCGTTTTTTATTTTTTTATTTATTTTTTCCTCTTCTTTTTTTCAATTTTCTTTTCTTTCTTTGTCTTTGAAGGAAAATATAATTTTTTTAAGTCCACATGATCTAACCAGACCTCAGAGAGAGAGAAGAGAGAGAAAGAGAAAATAGTTTTCTGTTCTCTTGTAACTGGGCGTGAAATTTTGGGTTTTTTACCTTTTGTCCCCTTTATTTTTTCCGTTTTAACTAAGGCGTTATGTCTGAAGAAAAAACAGATGGTGACTGATTCCAGCGCTGATTTAGCGCGTGCAAATCACACTTATCAAAGAAATTCAAAAAAAAGTGACAAAAAACAATAAAATAATAATAAATCTAACTAAACGCTTTCAAGACCAAGATTTCCATTTGAAACAAAGGGAAACTGTGTCACGAAATCTTTGCTTTTAGGAAAAAAGTTTTTAAAGTTTCATAATTACTTTTTTAAATACTTAATCACTATCACAGTCAAGTTAAATAAAAAATTTTGTTCAAAGAAAAAATGATAATGATTAGTTTATTTAATTCACTTTTATTCTATTTAAATGTGACATCCTGATTAAATTTGAGATTTATTATACGATATATTACATTAATAACAAAATGACATATAAATGCATGCATGAGATTCTCGTATCCTAATAATATATATGATCAAAAACTTTTTATTGAGTATTATTATTTATAAAACCTTGACTTGTATACGTTGCATGTACTAAAAGTTTTATAATGAAATATGATTGTTATATTTTAGTTCAGTTTTCAAAGTTGATGTTGGAAAAAAAAAGATTTTTTAATTTATATTTATGGTATTATTTTAACTTATATTTTTTCAATTTAAAACTATACATTTTAACAGTATTTTAATATTTTTTAAGCTCAATCAAAAAATTTTTTGAGTCGAATAATAATTTTAATTTTTAAAATCAATTTAATATAAATACTTTAAATAAAATATATTTTAATAATCTCCTCCTAACCTACAAAAGGGTTTGGTTGTGTATACTTTTTCAGAAGAGCGTGGGTTTTGATAACTCCTCGGCCGCATATCTGTTAGGTGGCAAAATCCAGCGTGTCATACGTATTTATTTCTTATTTTCCTCTTTGTGTCTTGGAAAATTAATAATTTCGCTTTTTTATTTATTTACATTGTTTTTCTTTAAAAAAATTTTTTTGACAAATTTGTGTTACCCCGGTGTTTGGTAAAGAGGAGCTCTGCGCAACTCTTGCGTTGACCCAAAAACAATCAAATTAACCATTTTGCCCTTGTGCTTGTGTGGTTCTAGTGGCAACCCCTTATTTTCCTTTCTGTTTTTTCGTCATCTTGGAATTTTGGAATAATAATTTCTTTTATGCTTTTTTTCCCTCTTAATTTGTCTTACTTTTAAGGCATCATTAATTTTTATTTATTCATTACTTTGATTTGAATATAAAACTTGAAAAAATTGCTTAAGTTTACAAAAAAAAAAAAAAAAAATCTAAATTTACAAATAAAATGTAAATTTTTTTATTTTATTTATTCGAATTTAATGTCTTACAATTTTAAATTAAAAAAAAATCACGAAGAATAGTTTAAAATTATTTAAACATAAAACGACTTTATACATGATTATATTAAAGAAAATTTTTATTAACGAATGTTTTTAACTTTTTTTTTTAAATTCGTTAAAATACTATTTATAATAATAATAATAATTTTAAATTAAATACAATAATTGATAATTTTATTAATGATTTCAATGTGTTGATGAACATATTACGTTACATAATAACTTTAAAAAGTGCTAATAAAAATTTAAAATAATTTTTTTTATAAATTAGAACAAAATTTTCCTATTTTTACATGTATAAATGCTTGAGATTTGAAATCTTTTGCATGGAAAATTAATAGAATGACTCACCTTTCAAGCTTATCCAAATTTCTGACGCTACCAAGAGTCAACCAACTTTGATTGATAATCCACCACATTCTACATATACAATAAAATGGCTGGAATAAATGAAAGTAACACTTGTGACTAGTTCTTTCAAGAATTTATATCCATTGGAATTTCAACCAATCGAACTCAATCACTACGGTTTTGTTTTATTTTCAAATGAAAATAAAAGTATAAAACTACTAGATAAGTATAACTAATAAAATTGATGGTTTTCTTACAGTTAACTATATAAATGATTTAACATCATTTATTTCATGGTAGGCGGCAATTAATAAGACATTATATATATTAGTTGTCGCATTACCTCAACATAGTATTTGAGTAATTAATTTAATAATGAATGTATGTATATTCTTTATTAAAAAAATAAATCGAATATATTTTTCTGAATTAAAAAAATGGCTAACATACATACATGGTAAATAGTATGATGGTAAAGTTCATTGGGTTCAATAAATAATTTTGGATTCCAAACTTTTTTTTTATTTTTTTTATATTATAAAAATAAAAATCTTATTTATTGAGTCAAATCGAATTTAGATTAGATCAAAATATGATATCAAACACCTTACATGATTGTTGAAATAATTCATATCTCAAATTTTCTCAAATTCACCTAAATTATTATATAGTGTAGTTCATACACATCCAAATAATTTTTTTCAAAAATATATATATTTTTGTATTTTTATTAAATTTAAAAATATGAATAGATTAACATATTTTATAATGTTTACACACAAAAATATATCAAATATTATATATATTTTATAATATAACTTGTAATATATAAATGTAACTATATAATATATATGCATATAAAAAAATGCATATAGTACATAATTCAAGCCAAATTGAATTTAAATTCGAATCTTATATTTTTGGAATCAAGCTTCGACTATTTTTCTTGAACAGATTAAAATTTTTTTCAAATGATGAGTTTAATATTTTTATTTAAACTTTTGATACATGGAACGGATATTCAAATTTAAACAGAATAACCTGACACTTAAAACAAAAAATGCAAGATACAAATGAAATGGAAAACGGCAACTTTGTGTGAAAGACTAAAAAATCCATATCTATCAGGAAGGTTGTTATACTTGATGCTTGCTTAATTAGACATAACAAAACTTAAAAAAAAAACAAAAACAATAGAATTGTAAGAATGGCAACATAGAAAATTAGATATGACAACGAGACAGCCCGTAGAAATCTACCGAGTGGGAGAGAGCTGAGAGGCAGCCGGCAAATGCAGTTAAGACCTGTTCTAGAGTCAGGAAGGTGGCTTTGTTTGACTGGTCATGAAGCTGCCATTTTGAAGAATAGACTTTTCTTTTGTTGCAGTATTTAAAAACAAATTACTAATACTAATAATAATAATATAATTTGTTTAAGTGAAGTCCAGGGTAAGGAAAAATGCAAGTCTCTGAAGCAGGAAGTCTGAACCCGAAGGCGAAATGCATTACTTTGAAGGGATAATCTCAAAATAAAACCCATACTTTTGTATGTCTAACTTGTACATTTTTTTTTTTTGCTCGAGACCAAGTAAAATGTTTCGAAAATTCCAAGGGGGAAGAGAAGGAAGGAGAAAAAAAAAAAAAAAAAACTAAATGGTGGTGTAATCGACAACTGGGGCGGTTGGGTCCCAAATCGTATTCACAATGGATGTTGGCCTCTTTAGGTTTCCGGAATAAAATGAGAGGATGATGGATATGCTTTGGTTTATGCGCCCTTCATTATTTTAGTTATTATGTTGGAACTTTGAAAATAAGAAATACAATTATAACTAGGCAGTTGGGAATTATTAGCTTCATTAATAAACATATAAATACCAACTTTGTGGGTGTAGTTTTTGGAGAAAATTATAACAATGAGGGCTTCTGTCGAAAGTGATGTCCCAATGGCCAATGTTTCAAAACAGTCTTAAAAACAACACATCATGATCTAAAGGGAGACATTAATTTTACTTGTCCTATCCTATCGGACAAGCCCAACCTTACACACTAAAACCATGTTACAGCTGTATCAAGATAGGAAAGTCGTCCGGCAAAAGAAGAGATTTCTTTCTTTTTTTGAAGGCTGAAATGTGAAACATGGAATTTGGAATACTGTAAGAAAAAGACATTTACTTTCAACATTATGCTGTCTAAAATTGACAATGATACAAAATTTTAGAGTTTCATCTTATCACAAAGAATGATATAAAATCTTAATGCTTTTTCAAGTAAAAAAGATCTTGGCATTTTGCATGCTTTATCTTATTTCACGTATTTTTGTAATAAGAAATTTGACAATTAACCTTTCATTCAGTTTGAAGACCCTTCAAACTGATCTCGAAGCATTTCGTATTTCTTAAGCTCTGCCATGGAAAGGGATGGTGAAAGCTCTCCCAAGACCTACACGGTCAGGACATTAACATCAAGTCGTTAGACCAAGGCGTCTAAATAAGACACTCACGTATAAACAGAGAGAAGTATTATATCCATTTAAATATCAAATTGAAATGCCGGAATGTTTGAAGAATCATGAGGATATGCCATCCACTGACTGATTAGACTTCGAAACATGTACTGCATGCCAAGGCATGATTTGTGTTTTAAAGTGCACTTAGCTTAGCTACATCTTTCATCATAGTAAACGAAAGTTAGCATACAGTGATAACCATGGAATTGCACTTAATGCTAATTCAATCACATCTCTTCACGGTTTATGTCTCCTCATTTCTTTATTAGCCTTCAGCTATCTATTGCTAATCCAAAATCCAAAATCTTGTACATGTATTCCCCCAAAGATCCCTTAGTCAGAGAAGAAGCATGCCATACCTTAATAAAATCATCATATTCTACAACAATGGAGTCAGCTTGATCTGTGCAAGAAGAATCTGAATTTGAATTCAACACCTACATAAAAAGAACCGCTATAAGCAATGAAGAGAAGAATTTAGTTTACAGTGCTTGAAGTACCTGATATATGATAAGCTCAAAACCCTCAAGGTATATTGTCTTGGCATCGAAGATATGACACCTTCACAGGGTTTCTTGATGGAAAGGGCTAATTTTACTCACCTTGCGCTTTGCAGCATGAAACCAAGCATCTGCACATAAGGCATACATATCTGCACCAGTGAAGTTTGGTGGGCACCTTTTTGCAATTGAATAAAGGGATACATCTTCTTGCAATCTAAACTTTCTGGTAAGTGCTTTAAGTACTCTGGACCAAGAATGGAATTGACCACATAAAAAAAAAAAAAGAATCAAATTTAAAAATAGATATAACATAGAAGAATGAATAGAAGAAAAGGTCCAAAGATATAAACTAACCGCTCTCTATAAGATGCGTCAGAGTTAACTCCAACATATAGCAGTTTGTCAAATCTACCAGGCCTCAGAAGAGCTGGGTCAATAAGATCTGGTCTGTTGCTTGCTCCTATAATAAATAGGTCCTGGAAAACGATAAAGGAGATCAGTCTCATGGCTATTTGGACAGAAAGCAAAGGAATATAGTATTTTCATAACAAGCATAAATCACCTGTGTAGAATCGTTAAGGCCATCAATCTCTGCAAGCATCTAGCAACAAGTGAAAATTGTCATGATTAGTAACAAGTGAAACTCAAGAGAGCTGATCAATCAACGTCGTAGCAAGAATGCCTTCACCTGAGAAACCACTCGGTCCATAACACCCCCAGAATCCCCAGAAGCACCTCGAGCAGGAGCAAGAGAATCGAGTTCATCAAAGAAGATGACACATGGCCGTGCTGACCTGGCCTGCAAGACTTGCAATATCACAACATTGGAGTTACCGCATAAACTGAAATCCTGTATGCAACCTAATTTACCAAGGAAAGGAATTATATACTCAAGACAAGTTTATTTTTGTTTACCTTATGGAAAATATCTCGAACATTCTTCTCTGACTCTCCTATGTACATGTTAATTAGTTCAGGCCCTTTTACGCTAAGGAAATTTAAGGAACACTCAGTTGCCACAGCTTTTGCCAACAAAGTCTGACATTTAAAGAAGAAATAATAAGAATAGGAAAAAAAAAAAATAGCAACAGAAGACATCTTAAAATAAATATTTGGAAGGTTGAGAAAATCTGGTAATCCATCAGAACCTACTTTCCCTGTTCCAGGAGGACCATATAGAAGAGCACCAGAACGCTTTCGCAAGCCAGACGAAAATAAATCCTTATGCAGGAGAGGTAACTGTAGGGTTGAAAAAAAACAATTAAGTAAAAGAATTCAGACTAACAGGCTTCCTATTACAAAAAAAGTTAAGCAAAAAGGACCATCTATAAGCAAAAACAGAACAGAAACCTGTTTGATGGGGACCAGATAATGTGCAATGATAAAACCAATTGGAATATCCTTTCCTTAGCACTCAATAGATAGCCAACATACTCAATCAGTGTCACTTTTAACCAAACGTTTCATTTCATGTGTATTACAAGCAAAAACTTGCTATAATCTATGTGATAAGTTATTAATTGACAAACATCCTAGGATCATACATACCATTTTGTGCCCATGAAAAGGAACGAAGGGGTTCAAATTATTCAACAAATGGTATTCTTTTGAAACTCAGGACAAATACATTTTAGATTAGTATAACCTATAATTGGAAAAAGGCATCACAGATACGGAAAAAGGCACCTGAACAGTGTCTAAAATTGATTTCTTCACATCCTCCAGTCCACCAACATCTTCCCATTTCACGTTAGGAACCTGCAGCAAATAGATCAAGACTCAAATGATCTTTTCTACATTCAGCAATCAAAAGAATCTCTTCACTCCAAGAATACCAAAATAACATAGAATTTGAAAATATCTACTTCAGATGGCAATCACATAACATTATGTTCTAAATTTGCTTTATAAAAGTTACCTTTGGAGCACCTAGTGCAGATGCATTCCTCTTCTTTGATTGGTCCAATGCTTTTGCCAAGTCCTCTTTCCCCATAGAATGAGCTGCAGTATTGCTTGATGTATCATTTACTGCTTTAACTCTATCAGGATAATCTGATTGTGAGGATTCTGCTTTGCCAGTTTGAAAATTGCTCCTCCGGATTAAGTTAGCACCAGCATCAGCAACTAAAGCATGCAAATCCCGAGGCATGAAGCCAGATGTCTGTCCTACTATGTCCTTCACAAAATCCTCTAAGCAAGTCTGCAAGGGGCTACCTCAATCAAAAAATTTACAAAATGCTTCTAGAACACATGGAGATTTTATTCATTCATATAATAATTCTAAAAAATATCCAAGTTACAATTTATTTTTCCCAATTTTATAAATTTACCAGGTGACATCCCAGTCAGCCTTCATATAAAATTTGAATGTTGGGTTAAGTTATGGTGTAAAGATGTAACAAAACGAGGTACTCAAAGTATTAAAGTTTTGCCCTGCTCAGGTTCAATTTATTCATAAAGAAATTCAACCAAAGTTACAAATATAGGAGATGGAATATGTTTTCTTTACTTACATCAGAAAGGAGTTCAGAAACACCTTGCAGTGACTGAGACAACATTTCAGCCCTTTGTTCTTCAGTCAAGGGACCCATGCTTACTTCATGGCTGAAACAACGCCTAATGACTGGTGGCAGACCTTCAGAACTGTCAGCAGTGGCAACTAGCAGCACCTGGTGCCTTCCCACATTATCATTATCCTTTCCAGGCTGTAGCAATACCATATAAATGATAAGTTTAAAGCATTATTATTTTAAGTACTTGAAAACAAATAGCAAGCAAAATTCTCAAAATCAATTTTCTGTTTCTTGATTTCAATTCCCCAATTGAAGTTCTGACTAGATACAACAGATCTATATGACACCTAGCAAAGTTCAGAAAGCATGCCTCATCAACTAAGAAATGACAAATCATGAGAACACACAAATGTACAGGAGGAAATACTTTAGATAGACGGTGAAGAAAAACTCAATATCACATCAATAATGACAAATCATGGGAAAAGAAACCAATAGAAGTAAATGACAGCATGCCTGAAAATCTAATCAACTGAAAGATATATGCTAAGAAGTAGGGTCTTACAAAATCACCATTTGACTTGTCTTCAGCATATTCATCTTCGTCATTATCAACTGGCTCAGTGAAAGCTCTGATGACCGATGCAACTTCAGAGGAAAGCCCAATTTGATCACTTTGGGAACCTTCATGAGAGGCCAAATTCCGAAAAACATCAAAATGGCGTAGTAGAAGTATTGTTGGTGAGTATCTGCCACCAAATAGATAAATAGGAAAGTGAGCCCATGAAAAGGCTAAGGAACAACCATATTAGGTGCTATCATTTTGCCTGATATCAGTCATCATATAAGCATCAAGTCTGAAAGAAGTTAAATCAACCTATTACCTTGACTGAATTGTCAGAGAAGCTACCATATCATGAAATATTTCCAAACTTAGACACAAACACACAGCAATATTACAAATTCAAACATATGACATTGTTCAAAAGGAATGGACACTAACGCTTTAGAAAATTTTGAAAAGATTTCTAACTATAGGCAGCAGAATAACTATGAAGCAAAGGGTGAAGCAAAGGCAGAACAACTGTTGGCATGTTTTCAACAAGTCAAGTGCTTAACCTTTGCGAACTGTTGAAAGCTTGAGCCAATGCAGCAGAGGTCTTCTTCTCAGTAGATGCCGTCAAATTAAGGCAGCTATATTCAACCACATGTAGACCTAGTCGCTTAGCAACATATCTAACAACAGTCCTCTTCCCACAACCTGCAATAAATCCTTGATCAGGACACAGCTACACTATACATTAACGAGCATGCATACACTAAAAGCAATCCTCCTCTTTGTGATCAATCTGTATTATAATTTATGCTGTCACTACGAATTGCATCGTTAAAACTAGTTCCACGTTTGGCAAGCACAGATTTTCCAGTCCCAGAGAGAAGGACCACAAAGTTGTGTCATCAATCAAAGATTTCATTTTCCAAATTAAACTAAAATTTATGAACTAAGTAAGTAGCACAGTTTAGAAGCCAGAAAGGCATCAGAATAGCATCTGGCGCACCTGGCAGACCATGTAGTAGAACAGAAACTCTAAATTTCAAAGAAAGTGGTGATGGGCATAGAGGTGGTGTAAGAATGGATGCTAAAATCTTCACTGTGTCCCCTTGAAAAGGGGCAAAACTTTTTGATCCAGCGATCAACAAATCGGGGGGAACAGCGGATGAAGCGCTCCCTCCAAGAACTAGAGCAGTCTGAGTACGATTGACTCGAAGAACTGCTTCATCTGATGGCTCCATAGCAACAACCTGAAGACAAGAATAACTATCTGATGACAACCTGGGACATAGTAACATTCCCTGTGTATATCCTGCCACTGGTATTATATACACAAACTATTACCTTGAAATAGATGATATTATCACTACGATTTTGCAATCTTGAGCTGCAAGGAATGCAAATGACTGAATTGCAGTTCCAATTTAAGCAAATGTTGAAAACATCTCCCCTCGCTAAATATCTATCCACTTCAAAATACTTGTGTAATGCTGAATCAATCATTTCTTGGCGATCTTCAGCTTCAATAGAAGAAATTCCTCTCAAAGATTCCAGGGAACTGCATTCTGGTATCTTAACAAAGGAAACCCTTAAATGTGATGCATATTTTGGCAGTCGAGCCAAAGGTTCCAACCATAAACTGATAACAGAAGAATCGGTGTCTCCCCTACAAGCCTTATCATCCACATTACCTTCGAAGAGAGATGCTAAAGTCTCTTTCCCTTCATGGACAAGAGATCTAAAGCATGATATGTGTAGGTTAAGGTTAAAAGCTAATAGAGGAGATACATAGGCAACGTCACAATCCAATAATACTGAGTCATTTTGAGGAAAATTGTATGACGGAAACACATGCATTATATGTGGAGGATGGGAAACGGGTTCTTTGCTTAGAGACGTGTCGACATGGGTATGTGGAGGATCTAAAACAACAACCTGAGCAATTCTTTGTATCTTTGTCTCCTCGTTTCTAACAAGCACCTAAAATTTTTAAGAAATGCAAAAAGAAAAAAAAAAAAAAGGAACTGATGTCAGTCATTATAACATATTAGGTAAATGATTTTCTTTTTGCAATCATCATCACATTACATTAAATTAAATTACAATTACTGTATATTAGTTCCATTTTTATTGATAATGACATCAATTTCAAGATTTAGATTTTAATCTTGAAACAACAGAACACTCAAACGCAAATTAAAAATTCACTTCATGCACCTTAATAATTAGAATAAAAAAAAAGAGTTAAATTTTTTTTTCTTTTTTGTTACAGCATTTTCCCAGCTACCAAACAGCGCATAAACAAACAAAAAAGAAAAATTGCGATACAATAGCCAGAGAGAAATGCTCGTAAGCCTGAGCTACGAAGGCAGATACTTGAATTAAGCTTAAAGTTCCGTTATTTTCTTTTTTCCAGCATTTTTTTAAGCAACCAGAACAGAAACTTAAACTCACCAGCGAACCAGAAGTTATTGATAGTCTCTTCAATGCAGAAGTAGATAGTCCCACCAAAGCAGAATCGTCAAGAGAAGCTAACTTGGAATCCGAAATATCAATTTTGTCCTTCGAAAACCTTAAAATCCCCGTCCTTAAACGCAAACCATCAACGGAAAGATTAGTTGGTTCGGTTTCATTGAGTCGCGTGAAACTCAGTACCGAGTTGACGAGAATTTTGGTGGAAGAAAGCACAAGCGGCTTCCTTCTCCCCACCATCCTGAAACCGCCGCCAAAATCCCTAATTTGATTCAATTATTGAAATTAGTAGCTATATTTGGAAGAAATAGGGAAGTAAGGCGGACATGACATGGCCATCTGGGTCCACAGCCGGATGCTCTTCTACGAAGAACGAAAATCGATGAAAGTCTCTTCCTTTACTCCTTTATTTCTTTTCTTCTTTCGACGTTGACGTCATTTATTTAATCTGTTTCAGCGACAGCAATTGTGTTGGAGCCCGGCTGGTGACCCAGAATGTTCAGTTAAGGCCATAAGCCCTGGGCTTACACTCTAACAACCTTAACCTTTTGACATAGTTAAGTGGGCTGGTGATCTAAATGTTTGGGCATCCCTAGAGGCTGATGAAGCCACAACCATCGCCACCAAATACAGAAGTGAAAGCAACAATTTTGCAAGTTTGCACTTTGCGCGTAACTTTTGTCCTTACACAATTCAAGAATCAAAACCCACCATTTTGATTCTATACAAACAAGAATCCAAGAAAAGCCATTTTATATACCTTACAGCAAAAATTCTTGACAACAATAGATAGCCAATATATGAAAATGCAAGCATTCAGAAATATAAGATAAAAGTTTCATCGTTCTTTGAAGTAAGAGCATATTCCGCATCAAAATCTTCTTTCCCAACAACCATGTTTTAATCTTAGATTTTGCGGAGGAGCTGAAGCTAAATTGCATATCGAACTATATCTGTGCCTTAACATGATAAGGACAACAGAGGCAACAGTTTAACCCTCAATGAAAATAAGTTTGAATTCTCGGTAATATTAGTCAAAAAAGCAATTGCAAATACGCTAAAGGTGAAATTTAAAATAAATAATTACAAAAAATGAAGTCAAAAATAGGATTGACAGTCTAATCTGACTCCGATAAATTTCGATCTGATTCAATTTGATAAAATCAATTTTTTTTTAATCAAATTTTAAGTTGAATTAAAACGGATATTAGTAAAAAAAATTAGGATCGAATATTAAACAAATTCAATCCGATCCTATATATATAATTATTTTTAATTAATTAATTATATATTTATATATTTATTTAGTTTTATATTTATATTTAAAAATAATATTTCATTAATTTTAAATAAAATCAAATCAAATACAATTTATACAATATTAGATCATACCATATTCGAGTATAAAACAATAAAAAATTTCTTCGAATCGGCTTATGTTAAAAATTGCATTGCCTCGACTAGGGATGGCAACGGCCTGAAAATTTCGGTTTATTGCCATTGTAGATTTTGAGCTGATGATAACGACGACGACGAAGATGTAACGGTGAACTTCTCTGGATGTTAAAGAAACTAAACCCCAGTGAAACTCGCTTCCCACTTAGCTGTGGGCTTTAACTTTTAAAAGCCCCTTTATGAACCGGAGAAATTGAGCAACTTCGTTTTTTGACCGTGCATCAGCTCCAAGTCCCTATCTAATTCTAGCCCAAATTATCCGACACTTATCTCTTATCTATAAGTCCATCTTGATGTTCTTTAAACTATTGGATCTGCATTCTACAGGCAATAAATGAATAGGATAAATACAATAAAATTTCATCTAAGAGTATAAATCTTACAAATGAAAATTATTTGTCCTTTCAATCTATCGAGATTAAACCTTTTGTGCACCACATCATTGCATTTTTATATGTCAAGTTACCTTTGTATTTGAACAAATTTCAGCCATCCAAGCAAAAACACTGCCATGAAGTGCATGTTAGGTGCTTTCTTGATCTGTTAATGAGTAATTTCTTTGACTTCTTCAAAGTTTACTGCAATTCTTGCCTGACATCCAAACACTCCAATTGTGCAAATCACAGAAAGTTGCAGTTCAGACAGCTGTTGCAGCAACACACTCTGCAAGCTCTTCCAGGAGTTCCTTTTGTTCCATAGTTGTACATGCCTGCAAAAGGCAAGAATTTGCAGTACAATTTAAATCATTACCACAAGGAACCTTATTATACTTTTTCTAGTTAGATATCAAGATAAATGTTCTTTGCAAAATATTGGGAAGACAAAGAGAGAGAGAGAGAGAGAGAGAGAGAGAGAGAGAGAGAGTCGTATAATGAAAACAGAAATAGAGGTAGAGATATCACCTGAACAGCATCCTCAATATCACCTTCAAGAAAAGATGTAAGCTCAAAGTTCATCTTTAACCGGTGGTCAGTAACCCTAATTGTCCTGATAAAAGGTAGCAGCATGATACTTGTCAGATTCCACAAGTGACAGCCATTAGTCTTTCTAACAAAGGCAACAAAACCAACCAGTAATTCTGCACGCAAATATATACATGCTGGGCGTAAACACAACCTCAGCGCATATCTCATTGTGCAAATTCAGTTCAAACATCTGGTTTTTATAAGTGGGTGAATGTGTTATATCACATTAACTAAAAGTAACTTAGCAAGAGCTCTGGACCTTATAATTGTAGGTTCAAATCTTTTCGGCATGAGCACCAGTACCAACCTGCATACCCAGACATATATGATACATACATAAGGCACTTCAATCCAATCACTAATGTTTAATACCAAAAAAAACAATCACAGAAAAGGAAATTTCATTTAGAAGAAAGCAATTACACCAAATCAGAATCAATATATTTCCTATGCATATAAGTCTATCAATCCACCAATATCCAATATCCTGACATAGTAATATTTGTTTTCATTTTATTTCACAGGTTGAGAAATCCACTTCAAATTTTTTTTGTTTACTTTTCTATATCAGAAAAAGACAGAATTTCCTATTTTTCAATACAATATTAAATTAAATAATAGGAGACTAAAAATGAAAGTTCCTTTTTCACACTCACTCTCCATCACATTGTCAGAACAACATTTGGAGAGAATATGAAACAACAAACAATGAAAAGGGCAAAACATTGTCCTGAAAAGAATGTCACTACGTCACATAAGTGAGCACATTATCCACATACATGGAAACTTACAAAAGATTCCCCTAGATTCTCTTAAGAAAACAATTATTGCAATGTTTAGTTAATGGTATGTCATAGCTACCGCATAACACCTCAAAGTTAATAATGATGACGATGATCCCCACAAAAGTTGAAAACAGGTTACCATCCTACCATTGGACACACCATAGACAGTTGTTAATGTAAACTAAAATTGGAGGTATGGGGGTGGAATAGGGGTGCTTGAAGGGAGACATGAAAAAGCATTGTCATTAGCTCTCATGAAACTAAGTAAAGCATCATCAAACCAACACATAACTGTGATTTTCGTTGATTCCTTATCAACTCTTGCTGCTCCCTTACTTTTATTTCATCCCTGTAAGGACGACATGGATCATAAGGAATGGACCAAAAAGGAAGATTCAAACAAATTTTGAGAAAATATGAAACCCCGGATGATGATTACTTATCTCAGGCAATAATTTATAATTATTGTGTAAAATAAATAGCACTGTAAAACAACAAAAAACAAAGACCCCAAAAGCAGTATATAGTTAAGTTGAGCCTCACAATTTTGCTCATAGCAGCTCTAAAGCACGATTCTTGTTCTGAAGTTGGGTCCTTTCTTCAGTACAAAAGATGCAGATTCCAGTTGGTTTATGGAAGAGATCAACTGTTGTCTCCACTTTGTTGGCATTCTGACCTGCATTAAAACTAAGCATAAGAACTTCTCAAACCCGTGGGGAAAAGGAAGATGAGAAATGAAGAACCGGAGACTCACTTTATCATAATTCAATCAATATTCTGTGCATTTATACCTCCAGCACCCCCAGATCCTGCAGTTGTGAGTTCAATGTCTTTTGGATCAATTTCCACCTCAACTTCATCAGCCTAACCCAAAATTCATCTTAAGCACAAGTGAGTTCAAATGAAAAAAAAAAAAAAATTGAGATCAAATATATAGAATGCAGCAGCTAAAATGCAATCTAACGTTAAGTTAAACAAATAAAGGCTATTAACACTTCAACAGGCTAAATTAACAGACATTTATTCCTTCATTCAAAACAACATTGAGATGAGATCTTTCACACAGAAGATGTCTCAAGGCAAATATGATTCAGGTTTGAAATGTAATCTACCTCAGGCATGATGGCTACAGTTGCAGTAGAAGTGTGCACTCAGCCCTGTGCTTCTGTTTGAGGAACACATCGGTTGAACCTGGTGAACACCTGATTCATATTTCAATTTGCTGTAGACACGATTCCCTTTGACCTCTATCACACAGGTTTTGAATCCTCCTTTTTCAGCCTTAAAAATACCAGACAATTTGACAGTCATATTGAGAACAACAGGATGGATGTTTTTGCTGCTACTAGTGATGTTAGAAATCTTATACACAAAATTTTAACTAAAACTTTTTTGGCAATAAGTACTGAAGGTCACATTAACTACCAGTTATGGTTGGACGGAATGAGTAGCTAATGGCACCCACGGATTTTAGTAAGAAATTAAAAAAAAAAAGTAAATTTAATATTATTGCAATAAGACATACTTCAGAGTATGAAAATAGGCTGGATTTCCAAGAGTTCCGCTCGCTGTACTTTTGATACATTCTGACCTGGGTATTGAGACAAAGGATATTAAGGTCCATTAAGATGTGTTTAAAAGCAGTTAGCCAATCTCTAGTCAACATATAGCAGAAAATTGGTCAAAAACAAAAATCAAAATGTATCATGTAGCCTAGTTCCATGAAGCTGGTAATGCTAAAAACAAGTGGAAACAGAAATTAAATGGTTTCCTGTTTCAACACCAAAAAATTTTTCTACTTAATTCACCTGTAAAATTTTCTCTCCACTTCTGTGATATAAAGATAACAACTGCTTTTTGACAGAATTAAAACATTCAAAGTAATTATAAGGCATGATTCCCAGCCATAAATCTGAATGGATAAAAGAAACATGTACCTACAAATCACCGGCCCATGGTCCAGCCTCATCACCACCAGTACCTGCCCTCACTGGAAAAAAGAGGACAAGCACAGTTCATTGAAGTGAGAATACGAAGGAAATTCCATTAGGTGATGCATTTAAAACTACTATCCATATTACATGGGAAGTATAACTTTTATGCAGGCCAATGCTTAAGTAGATAGAACTATCCATCCAAAAGGAATGAAAATATAGCATATTTCTGACATGAATAATTGTTTAAAATGCAGCACAAATGTGAAGGATAGCAACGGTACAGCCTGAAAGTACCGCAACCTAGAAATTTGATTTCTTAATTATCTTCTCAACAAGATTAAGAAAGATGTTGATAATAATTACCTTCAAGCATTATATTTCTTGCATCAAGAGGATCACTTGGAAGCAGTAGCACCTGCCAACACAGAAGCAACTTAGTAGTTTGAGAGACTAATTAGAGGCAGCAAAAAGCAAAGATAGCATAAGCAACAGTAGTAGGACATTTTCAACCAAGAACAATTAAGGATAATTAAAAATTAGAATGACAAAAAGAACAGGGTGATTCTACAATAAGGCTCAATAGTGGCTAATGCTCATCAATGAACAATATTATATAAAATTTATGCAATCAGAAATAGTTCAATCGTATCAATCTTGTGCCAAATTGTTGAAACCCAACCAATGAAACTTTTTTGCAATGCAAAGAAAAGTAACCAAGACTTCTAATCATGCACTTGACTAAGCACACAATTGACACAACTTATTCAGGGGGAAAGTGGCGCCTAAATATTGAAAATAATTATAGAGATATGGAAAGGGCAAAAACCTTAAGCTTCTTCTCAAGCTCTTTCAGTTGACCAGATAACGAGTTGATTTCAGATGCTATCATCTCAACCATATCTTCATCGGTGGCCTCCTCTTCTGATAAAGCTGAAAAAATAATTGTAAAAAAGAAAAAGGATCAAGTTGTTGAAATGTTTTTATCTTATAGTAAAAACATTTTAAATAAGATGATTGTCAAAAATACCTTTGGTCTATTCTAACTGCTTCTCACAATCCTTAAATCTCCTAAATGTTGAGACAACCGACCCATCAAAAGAAAATAGAACACGAAAGTTATGTCAATGAAAACTCTAATTACCACCAATTAAGTGCAGTGGCCAATGTAAGAGGAAGCAAGATGAAATCCAGTACCTCATGCCAGTTTTTGGTATTCAGTGGGATTTGGGACAACATCGGGATCAGCAAGCCTAACATGTAGTACCATTATTTCGAGAAAAACAAACCTTACATAAACAACTGTATTAAGAGACTATATAATGGCATAGAGAATAACAATTTCGTGCCTAAGGTAGAGAAACATTGGATAGGTAGTTTTACTCCTATATAATTCAGAAACACAATCATCCCCAAACTTGAGCCTAGGGCTTTAAATGTCACAAACAGTAGATGCCTAAAATGAACAACAGCCCAAAGATGTAGCAACTGTTACTCTATAGGATAAAGTAAAAGACAAACCTTCTAGGTTAGCCCGCAATAGCTGAATAAATTTTCATTTATGAAAACACGTGAGGCTATATTACACTGGTTTGATTAGGCCAATTTGGATTTCCATTTTTCTTTTTGGCAAAATTTATGTCTCCTTAATACTGGATTAATCTGCTTGACTAACTTTCTCAAAGCAATTTTATTCTCTGCCGATGAAACCAAGAGAAACCATGCCTGATTTTGATTCCCAACACTAGATTATCATCAGGTCGATCAAAATTTTGACTAACACACAACTGAAACACTCTCATTTTTCAAATAATCAAAACTTATTAACGAGAAAGAGAAATTAAAAACCGTACCGATAATTCATTCCACGTCTTCTCTGCAGATTCCAGTTTCGTTATCAGATACGGCTCCTGCAAAAATCAATAAAAATGAGAAAAGGAGAACCAAACAACAATTTTACTTTAGCGAAATCTCAGCTCTGTTTTTTCAATTTAAAACGATGAGGATTTTGTCAAACGCACCGCCATGCAAACGATTCTCGGAGCTCTAAATGTAAGCCAAGGTCTGGCCGCCCTCAAACCTCTCGACTGAAGAGTAAAACGGCGTCGAACTGGGAAGTGGTCGAAGGTAGTGAATATTCGAGCTGTAGAGCTCATTGTAAAGCTGTTCATCGCTGCGGTTGCAGCTAATATAACTGATAGAGAAATTCGAGATAATTATTTTTGTGGCGGATAAAATGTGAAGAGAGCGAGAGAGATCGGAGGGCTTGACCGAGCGGCTAAGGAAAAGACACGGTGGCTTAGCGGAACTGACCCAAACCCAACCCCATCTGATAACGTTCCATTCTTGCTCGTTTTTTGGCAAAAGCAACTACCGCAAGAAACATATATTTTTTTTTTCTTTAATCACTCACTTTGTTGAAAATTACTATAATATGATATGACAATATAACCTATTGCTCAAAATTAAGTACTGTGATATATATTAGTTTATCTGATTTGATGATAAAAAGAGTTGCACTATTAGAGTTTAAACCATCAATTTTGAAAATATAGATTAAATTTTATTTTGATTGACTTTTTTTATCTTAATTTTAGCAAGTATAATGATTAAATAAAATTTAAAAATTTTGAGACAATTATTACATTAACTAGTGAAAGACAACATTTTGTTCAGGAACATTTTGCATGGTTATGATCAAAATAAATTATATCAATCAATAAATATAAATAATATATAAATAAAAAAAATATGTAATAAAGTATATGCACATACAATAATATAAATAAGAATATATAACAAAGTACATGTACATACAACAAAAATAATAAAATGCAACATTGGTTATTAATCAAATAATATTAAAAGTGACATACATAAAAAAACTGTGATTGAGAAGTCAACATAATAATTTATTGTAATTGGTGATACTTCTTTTGATATTTTAAGAAATATCTTCACCAAAATTTCTTAATCAATGACGTAAATATCTAAATTAAACCCATTAAATATTTCTCAAAATCCTAAATGAATTTTATAATAAATAATTAAGTATTAGATACCTAAAATAAAGTTTGTTGAAGGTCTAAATAATTAATTTCTATAAAAACAAAATAGCCCAATCAACTTAAAAATATATTCTTAAAGTCAAAAACAATCCCAAATTATATAATAAAAAATCTTAATTATATTCAATGTCATATTTTATATCACAATAGACATAAAATTATATATTAAAATTCCAAATGACTCAATTATACTAAATTGGGATAACTCACATAAATCAATTAAAGTTAATTAAAGTTCTAAACAACCTTTAAAAAAATAAATAACACAATTAACTTAAAACACATATGTCAAAATTCAAAAATGATCTTAAATTACATAATTAAATACCTTAATAATCCTTCAAATCGTATTTTATATCAAATTTTAGTTGGTATTGTACAGATGAGTAGAGATAAATTTAATATAATTTATAGATTGTAAATATAAATACATATCAAAATTATATATAACTAATAAAATACTTATTACACGTGATTAACTTCACTGATTATATTTTAAAATTTTATAATATTATGTATTAATAATTTAATTTAAAGAATAATTATAAAAAAATAAATTATTTCAACAATAGGCAACTCTTGTAATCAACCAAACTTCTAAAATTTTATCAATGTGTGATGGAATATAAATATGTTCTCAATCAACTATTCTTCTATTGGAAAAATTAAAACCAAAATCTTTGAATGATTATTGTATGTAACATTCGTTTAAAGAATTTGATTAAAAAATTTGTTGTCCTTAAATAGAAAAAAGAATTATAAAAGTAAAACACATCCTAATAATACTATGCATCAATTAATAATTTAATATCAATATAAATATATCTTCATTTAATGTTACTATGTCATGACCAGGTTTCATAATTAATTTTCCGATAGCGAGCCTATAAAATCAACAGCAGCAACGTTTAAACGTGGCAAGTCTAGAGTAGGCAAGGTCCTAAAACCATAACCATATATTGACCAAGAAAATTATAAATAACCAAAGCATAACCATTTTGATTGGACAAATTGGAAATGACCCAAACATCAAAACTCTTCATAAATCTATGGTAAAGATGTTAATGAGTTTGATCGACAAACAATATTTTGAAGTAAAATTTGATATTAAAGGTAGTTGGAATCATTTAAGAAATTATAATTCGCTTACATTAGAAACTTTCATTAGACGAAAAGTTATTTGTTGTTGCAAATCGATATGCTATTTGGTCTGAACAAATCAAACCGATTTTGATCCAAATAAATCACATAACATTTTTGAACTGAAAGTTGTACAAAATTATACCTCATATTATTGTTTTTATAGATGCAATTCAGCATGGTCTAGTGCCAAACATTAATATCTCGTGTCCAAATGTTTATGGCCTAGTGGCCTGGACCGAAGGCTACAGGCCTCGCCTCCCTGAATGAATGCTCTCTTCCTCGTGACTTACGCTCCAGTTCCGAGAAGCAGAGCCTCCCCTACAAATTGTTAAGCTCGTACACTTTGTAGTCCAAATTACACATTTGTCCCCGTGATGCATAAGTCCTTTAACACGGTCGGCTTTTACGAAAGCCCCACTTGCCACCTATGTCTGTCAGCCATAAAGCGGTTAAAAGTACGACGATGCCCGAACAAAATCGGAGGGTTACACGGTCATTTCAGCTTTAACCAGTGTCGGTTACCTGTTTTATGTCCAAAACCCGCGGTTTTTACCAATTTTCCAGGTGCGCTTTATTTGGCGGGTACGAAAAAAAGTAAACAAAAAAAAAAGTTAGAGAGCAAAAACAAAATAAAAAAAGGGAACGAGAAAAATCAAACAAACCTAAAAAAGGCTCTCGAACCCATACCGTACGGAATTAGAGAGAAACAAACATAAGAGAGAGAACAAACAGTAGCTCAGTTACACTGAAAGAATCTCCCTCTTCGTTCTTCTTCGTTCTTCTTCGTTTTCCTCCTTATTCTTCTTAGTAAATTTCCACTCTCGATCGAGCTCTCTCCAATCATTCTAGAACATTCCAAAATTCTCTGTAGAACCTCCTTTTTTTAAAATTTTTTTTCTGTAAAGTCGGTAAGTACTACTGTACAGAATTCCACAGAAAAAACCGTTTTGATGGAGATGTACGGTCGAAACCCGGCATGGAATGGGTCTCAATCTGGTCACCAGCCCGAATGGAGCCCCGCCGGTGCCGAAACTGGCCTGGAAGGTGATTTCCGCTCTTTTTACTATATTTCCCTGTTTTTTACTTGCATTATAACGACGTGTCTTTGGTAAAGCTTATTTTTATTTGGGGCTTTAGGGTTTTTATAATGTGGAGAGTGAATTAGGGTTTTTATTAGTATTTCTTTGGTCTAATGCAGAATCTATGTTGCAATTGTCGTTGAGGGGCACCGAGCCGTACCCTGAACGGCCCGGGGTAGCTGATTGTGTTTACTACATGCGAACCGGGTTTTGTGCATATGGTAACAGGTGCCGTTACAATCATCCACGCAACCGTGCCGCGGTAAATCTCTCTATCGTTTTCTTGAATAAGTGGGTTTTTCCTTTGTTTATTTGATTTCATTTGCAGTGTTTGGTTCTGCATTGGACTGATATTGATTAATGTGAAATGGAATGAGGAAAATATATTGATGTTGTCCTATCAGACTGCTAGTAGTGATAATGGGGTCTAAGTGACTAAGTGTACTTAATTTTAAGATTAACAATGAAAGTACGAAATGCTATAGGAACATGGAACTTATCATGGTAGGTTTTGATGCTTCAAATATAGTAGCGCATAACAATATATCCCTGTTATAATCTATATGTGTACCACTACAATGAAGGAAACTCTTATATGGTAGTTGTCATCATTATTTTTTCCCTATAATTTTGTTCATATATATATATATTTGTCGCTTATAACTCATAGGGGCTTTGATGGACACAGTTTCTTTAATGTGATATTTACTTCTTCATAGAAACTGAATACTGCAATTTAGAAGTTATGGTTGACATCCTCTGTTATGGATTTAAATGACCTGCTCCTTAAGTCTATGTGTATTTCTTCAGCATCTTCCCTGACACTGATAATTGCATTGGCCCTTGCCTTACACTTTATTTCATACCAAACTGTCTGATGTTTGGTCTAGTTGATAAATGTTTATTTCATAGTATATTTTATTCCAAAGATATGTTTAATCTGTGGGTAAGTGAAGCAAACAAAGGGAACATCATGCCATGGAATGGTGTTTCCTTTGGACCCACCTCAACTTAATAGTGAACCTGAGGGCTTTTTTATTTGTTGCACGGGCATGAGAATTCCATGATACAAATAAGTTACTTGCCTGCTTTATTTCTTCTTGTTAAAATTAAATGGAGGATAGATAATTCTTGATAGAATAGGAGAATTTACCTAGGTCTTCTCATTAGTCTGTGGTTTTCCAACTGTGGTAAGCTTTTTCTTATACTCAGCTTTAAGCCTTTGTCAAAGAGTTCAGTCACTCATATTTATTTGATTGTGATGTCAATTAGGTTGAGGCTGCTGTAAGAGCTACAGGGGAGTACCCCGATCGACCAGGGGAACCTGCATGTCAAGTAAAAGAATAAATTGGTTTATGGAAAATGCAAAATTGTTTTTAATGAATCAACCCTTTTACTAATTAACACTGCAAAGACCCTTTCTTCTTTTTTTTTTTAACTTGTGCTTTTTATTTGTTGCATATATGCAGTTTTATTTAAAAACTGGGACCTGTAAATTTGGTGCATCTTGTAAGTTCCACCATCCAAAACATGGAGGTGGATCCTTTAGCCATGTTCCATTGAATATTTATGGATACCCATTACGACCGGTTTGGATCTCTTTTCTTGTTTTCTTTTCCCTTCTCAATTTGTATTCTCTATTTCGAGGATTCTTAAAACGTCCAGACACCAATTTGATGTGCATCCCTTAACAGGGTGAGAAAGAATGCTCCTACTATTTGAAAACGGGGCAGTGCAAATTTGGTATTACTTGTAAATTCCATCATCCTCAACTAGCTGGCACATCAATGCCAGTATCTGCACCTCAATTTTATCAGCCGGTGCAGTCTCCTTCAGTCCCTATACCTGAACAGTATGGTGGGGCGTCCAGCAGTGTCAGAGTGGCAAGGCCTCCATTATTACCTGGTTCATTTGTTCAAGGGGCTTATGGTCCTGTACTGTTTTCCCCTGGAGTGGTTCCTATTCCTGGTTGGAGTCACTACTCGGTAGGTGATCAGCATAATTGCTTTCAGATAATGCCAAAGTAAATGTGATTCCTGAAGCTGTTTTTGTCTTACTTGGTGCAGGCACCTGTAAGCCCAGTACTCTCTCCTGGTGCGCAACCTGCTGTTGGAGCAACTTCTCTTTATGGACTAACGCAACTATCTTCTTCAACACCTTCACTTGCAGGACCTTATCCTTCCTTGCCCTCTTCTACTGGCCTTTCAAGCAGTAACCAGAAGGAACAAACATTTCCAGAGAGACCCGGAGAACCTGAATGCCATTACTATATGAGGACTGGTGACTGTAAATTTGGATCATCATGTAGGTATCATCATCCCAGAGACAGGGTTGTTCCACAAACAAATTGCGTCCTCAGCCCAATGGGACTTCCTTTACGTCCAGTATGTGAACATTCTTGGTCTCTTTGTCTTTGTTTTATCCTTTATCTTGTGGTTTTTTGTTCGAGATGACATTCTGTTATGATAATTACTGTCATTTAGAGTTGGCTTTTATTAGAGATCTTGACTTGGATCTTGCATTATAAAGTAAGTTTGGTTAGGCTAATATATCTTAAATGCCTTTGAAATTGACTTTGATTGCCTTAGAAATCTGAAATTCTGTATCTTTTAATTTATCTGCTATGGAGTGAGAAGTCTTTGTTCCTTAGAGGGGATAGAAAGTGACAGCTTTTTTGCCCTTTCTTTCCCTCTTAATTAATCTTACTTTTTCTTTTTGAGGAACTGTTTTTTCTCTAAAATATAGGCTAGGTGTGCTTCATTTTATAGGAGTTTAATGCTCAAGTGTAGGATTAAGAGGGCATCACTATGGTCATTATTAATGGTTATGCTCAAGTGTAGGATTAAGGGGGCATCTGTATGGTCACTATTAATGGTTGAGATTTCTTCATACACATTTGACAGCTTTATGGTTTACATCCTGCCAGGTTTTTTTTTTTTTGCCAGGTACAGAACTTAGGAATCAAATTATTGCTTACTAGATGGCTTAGGTTGGTTAGAGCTTCATGAGGAATATTGGGTTCAGAGCAGTATAGTTTGAGGAGAATGTATGCTATGGCCATAACTTATCGTTTGATGTTAGTAGGTTCGATGATTGGTGATATTAGATTTGATCTCTAGTGAAGGTGTATGATGGAGCACTTTAGTTGAGGGCTTCTCTAGGTTTTAAATTTATAATATTCTTGTGGCTAGAAGAGAGATGATTAGAAAGATTCCACAAGTTTATGGCGGAGAGCAGCATATAATTTTTGTTTAGATTGGGAGGTTTATTCAAATAGGCAACCGAACTCCACCAAAGTTTCCTATGCTGTAAATGACACATATTCAAGGTTTTTATTAATCATAATTTATTTTTAGTATGTTTTTGGTTAGAAAGCACATGTGTTTGATCTAATAGCCACCTTTAACTTTATATACTGAGGTCTTTAATTGCACCCTTCCTAATTCAGTGCTGGACTTAATAGACCATCCTCTCAACCTCTTTTTACAACTTGCCCTGATTGAGAAACATGCATGCATGTATGTGGCTTTTATCTCTCTTTCTCCTTTACGTTGCATGTATTGTGGTTCTTGGTTAGATAGGACAGATCAAGTATATACTACTTGATCAAATTTGCATACAAAATTTTATTTAAATCTAGAATGGACTGATCGTAATTCGTTAACTTGTTATATATTTTTTAGCATATGCTTTGATTTTTCAGTTTTGCAGGAATCTTTGTTATCTAGTCAATTGAAAAGGTTTTATGTTTTGGTGCAAAATAATTGTGGCTCTTCTTGAATTGTTCTATTTGCCTGAAAGCAATTTTAGCATGATAATATACTTATTAACAGACTTCACTAGTGTTTTAATGGATATAGAGTTATAAGAATGCTATTCCGAATCAACATTTGCAAGTTCTCACTGTAGCTATTGCATTCCCCTAATTTCAAATCGACCATGATCTTATAAACTTTATTATAGCAATTATCTGCCATCTTATTCTTAGGTAACTCTACTTTGTGGTACTGGGAATGAGGCAATTATGGGCCATCATTTGCTTCTTAAATTGCCTTCATGTTTTAGTCCATTGCAACTGCTCAATCTTGTGAAACTTTGGATAGCCTAACTTTGCAAATTCTCCTTTTTGGTATTATCTTATTCCTTGCTTATAACTGGGAAATGGGGGAATAGTCTCAAGGGTTGGTTAGATTCCAATTTCTTCACGAGTTCACCATGCCAATACTCTGTATGTGTGGGTAGGAAAGGATAATCATCTAACTATGACTACTTATTGTGGGAAATATATTCAGTTCAGGCTTTGATATGCTCTATTTTGTTTTTATTTTTTCTTCCTTTCTCTAATTCAGCTTTAGCATTGCTATCTTGAGCAGCTAGTATATTACCTTTACCATATCGTGATGTTGAGGTGCAGTGTCTATGCTAACACATTATAGATAATATTTTGAAAATTGTTTTAATTTGATTCTTATTTCCTGTAAGCAGGGGGTGCAGCATTGTGCTTTCTACTTGCAGAATGGGCAGTGCAAGTTTGGGCCCACATGCAAATTTGATCATCCGGTGGGAACAATTAGATATAGTCCATCAGCGTCATCTCTCATTGATATGCCTGTTGCTCCCTATCCAGTTGGGTCTTTATTGGCTACATTGGCCCCGTCTTCCTCTTCTTCTGAATTACGGCCTGAACTGATTTCAGGTTCTAAGAAGGATTCTTATTTGAGCAGAATTCCTTCTTCTGCAAGCACATCTAGTAGTTCAGTTGGTTTGATTTTTTCGCAGACAGGTTCCGTTCCCCTTTCTGATTTGCAATTTTCAAGTCAGAGTTCTGGTCCTTTAAGCAGTAGTAGAAGCACAAGACAGAGTGGTGAGGTTCGTCGCTCAAATTGATGTAAAATGCTAGAGCCATTCTTCATTATCTTGCAGATATGGTTTCACCAACCGTGATATGTTTTCTGTTAATAGATCTCAGTAAATTATAGTCAATTGTGCAAAGTTATATTTCTCTGCAGCAAGGTTTATCAACCGATCTGCCTTAACCTCACAATAGGACTGGTAGTTTTTTATGCCTAGTTTGACTTTTTATTACCGTCAATATTATCTGCAATAAGCTTCTGTAGCAAACAGAATGTGAACTACTACCCCTCTCTTCCAAATAATCACAACAGAAAGCCATTACATCAGGTTAGCCTGTGACTCTCCTTTCAACTTGATGTTTTATATACTCATCCATATTTGCAATGAAGATTGAAGTGGATTGCCAGTTCCTTGTATGACTTAACTGTTCTTCATGCCTTTTATCACTTGATTATACCGACAACCCTGCTGTGTAGTACCGCTATGCCCCTCCCTTTATTTTTTCTCTGTTTAGGCCACTCTCCTCCAAGAATTTAAGGAGATACTTGCAATTTTGGTATTGCTATGCTTATCTTTTGAAATCAGAGACAAAAGGTGTTGGTATTGCCACATTCTTTGAGGGTGCGCGTAGGAAAAGCTTTGGAAGGCTCGAGGGAGTTGCAACTTGTTAGACACAGGACAAAGTGCGATCTTTGAGGGTTCAACTTATTTATAGGAAGAAGATGGAAACCTATTGCTTCATTGATTTACATATATGAAACATCGTTGAACCTCAAGAATCACTTTATAATATGATTACTGGTTAGAAACTTAGAATTGCTGTAGAATCCCGGCAATCTATTGAACTTCTAACATCGACAATGCATTTATCATTGTGTATCTTTTTGCCAATTTCCCTGATACCCTGTTTTGTTTTGGACTGGTAAATTTATGGCTTATTGCGTTTTTCCTTTTTATTTATGGCGAAGGAGTTTGACGAGTCTCAAAACATCTCATGGCAACAAAAACTTTGGGTGATGCTCGTAGCAAGATCCCAAAGCTTTTTGCTCGCTACTTATTTGTCACTTTCTTGTTTCTGCTGAACAACTCTTCTTGGGTACATGTTAAAAAAGCCCCTTTCACCATCTACATTAGGCGCTATTCTCGTTAGAAAGGAGGCACTTTCCTTGGATTTTCCCCGTACAGTGTTCTGGCAATCTCTATCCTTAATCAGCACAAGTTAACCAATTACCTATTCTAGTCTGTCACGAACCGTAAATCCAAAAGATGTGCTTCCTTCTGCCGAAGAGAGGTGTTGAGGGGTGTTTGCTGTAAGCTCAGTGAGCCAATTCTTTGCGGTTGCTGCTGGCTCAGGCCACCATCCATCAATCATGGGCTGATATGTGAATTTGTTCTGGGTCAGTCTCTGGATTATGATAGTAACATGCATACCGAGTAGAACATTGCAGCCAACATTGAGGCAAGCAATATTTTACTCTACCATTCTTGGATAACAAAATTTTTTACATGTTCTGAGTTCTGTCCGATTGGAATTGTAAGAAAGCGAGATTGCATTTACTGTGTTAAAAAATTCATCTTAGTTCCACTATAAAGTAAGAGGTCAATTGATCCACCGTTTATTGGTTTTCACTAAGATATTGAATTGAAACTGAAGGAAGCATATTATATTCAAACAAAAGAACGTTTTTTAAGAAATAAAATTAACCCTAAACCAAAGAATTAAGCTAATTGAATAATACAAAATCAGATTGACTAAGTTAGATTACACATGTGTGGCCACAAAAAAAAAGTTAGATTATTCATGGTTTTAATAGATGGTGTATTAGGTCTCTGACAAAAAAAAAATGATAATAATTTGAAAAAATAAATAAATAATTATGATTGCTTTATACTTCATCGGTAGTTTTAAACACACATTCATTTTTTCTTTCCATTCACTCTTTTTTTTTTTCAAAATTATTTTAGATAAATTTACTTAATTATCTTTTTTATTTAAATTTAAAAATTTTTGGACATGCATTTCTAGTAAATTTTATAACTTATAAAATATTAGATAAGTTATATAACTTACCAGATTTTCATATCCAATAAGTTATATTTAGGGTTTAGAAAAAAAAAATTTGTTAAGAAAAACTTTTTTCGTAACATTATAAATAAAAAGCACAATTTGTTTAAAACAATTACAAACTCATTTATAAATTAATAAAAAATTCATGCATGTGAATCTTTATATTTTTATTTAAACAGTTCATTTTTTCTTTCCATCCATTTTTAAAAAAAAATTATTTTTAGATAAAATTATTTAACAATTTTTTTATTTAAATTTAAAAATTTTTGGATATATATTTCCAATAAATTTTATAATTTATCAATATTTGGTAAGTTATATAACTTACTAGATTTTTATATGCAATAAGTTATATTTAGGGTTTAAAAAAAATTAGTTAAAAAAAATTCACGAAGAATTTTCATATATTACAAAGAAAAAGTATAATTTATTTCAAATAATTATAAATTCATTTACATATTAATAGACAAACAATGCATGTGAGTTTTTATATTTCTTCTTGATACTTTAAAAGTTTGCTGATATGTAAATCTGGAAATTTTTAAAAATTTTTGAATATTCAAATTTGAAGTCTTAAAAAGTGAGAAGAATTTTGAAAAAAAAAAATAATTAAATAATTTCATTTAAGAATAATTTAAAAAAATGTGAAGAAAAAAATTATATACGTTTATAAGCTCCTACTTATTTTATGTAGACTATGAGATAGATTTTCACCATGTGAATTTGTCATTTTGCCTCTCAATTCCCACTACCTAGCTAGAAACATCAATCAAAGGTCTCAATGTTGAGTAAGTAATTAAACAGGTGCTGTAATCTTATTAGAAAACTCTAAAAAAAACTTAAAAAATTTCTTCTAAGTTCTACCTCAATCAAAGAGTTTCTAAAAAAAATATAGAATTAATGAAAAAAGAAAATCCATTATGATTTCTCTGGATTCGATGAATAAAAAGTGTGGATGGGGCATACACATTCATTTGTATTATTCAAGCTTATTTCATCTCTAAATCAAATCACTTTCAAACTTGAGCATGCGCAATAAGCAGTCTTGGTCTCACAAGGACAGGCTTAAAGTGATGTGTTTTCCTGTTGAAATAAAAAAGCTTGTTCCCGGTTTGCTTGACTTATGGCTAAAAGGCCATAAAGGCGTATATGCTTCACTTGTTACCCAACCAAAAAAGAAACACAGTTTCTCTTGTGGCTATCATTGCAACTGATTTAAAAAACCCTAGACTAAAAGGAATAGCTTTTATAAAATATATATTATATGCAACTTTCAATTGATATAATTTCTTTAACCTGTTTGAGGGTCAAAGCTCGGATTGGAAGGCTAACATTTTTGCATTCTTACTTCCTTGTAAGAGAATGCTCGAAATGCAATCTTCACATCCTTTTCAACACCCTTGATTGTGAAGAATTGGGCTGAAGAGGTATTGGAGGAAACAAGCCCACGTGCAAACCACTTAGACAAGCCATGGTTCAATGATTTGAAATTAACCCTTCAATGGCTAACAGCAATGAATGCAAATAGGTTAGTGGTTAAGAGGAAAAAGAATTTCAGGTTCATTCTATGTTTATTTTGAGAAGGAGAATGATTATAATAAGATCATAATTAAGAATATACACCCACACGATCAGCGCATTCTTAGTTTGCACCAATGTTATGATCATAGGAGCAAATGCAGTGCAGCATGTGGAGTAGTACGTACTGCAACCACCATTCCAATGGCCATGGGGAGGGGGGGGGGTTTGAAAGTGTGGGCTCACATGTTTTGTGTCACTATAATTGTAGCCACCACCTTTGCTCCCCTGCATGCACTAATGATTCAAAACTGCTTTCCCCTTCACCTGTATTTACTAAAAGAAAAGAAGGGGGACAAAAGAAATTCCCTTCTGGCTTTTAGTACCACTGTCTCTGGGCTGTACTCCCATTTTCCTTGCTGATACAGATTATTGGGGAGAAGAGACAAACAAGGTTTTGAATTTTGACATTTTCCTTACTGATACAGATTATTAGGGAGAAAAGACAAACAAGGTTTTGAATTTTGATGGCTAAAAAATTTTCAATCCCCCTATGGATCATCTATGTGTCCCAAAACAAAGATGCTGACCATTCTTTTATTTATTCTTTATATCTAGTATTTGTAGTTCCATTCTGAGTTAAAAAACAAAAACTTAGATTTGAGAAGGAAACATCATTTCGTAAAGCAACATGAACCTGCTATTGCAAGTGAGATTTCTGATCATCAAACCTTCGGAAATTTTTTTTTTTTTTGGGTATTTCCACACTTAGTTTTGCAAAGCCAAAAATTGAGGAAGTGATAATATTTCATATATTATATATGCCACCTTTCTTGAGGCAAGTCTCATGATTAATTCTTCAGCTGCCCGTTTAATAATTTGTTTGCCAAATATTTAAAATGAGAAACAATATTTTAAGCTTTTCAGATGTGGCTGCTCGTTGCCATAACACCTGGTTCAAACATCTATAGTTTAAAGCTTTGCTCAAAAGTAATGTAATAAAAAAAAATTTAATGTCTTTTGTAACAAGAGACCTATAAAATTTTCATTATGTATATAAAATTATCAAGCCGGACCAAGAAAGAAAAAGGCAAATGAGCAAATCATCTTAGTATTTGATCAACATACTTTGTGGCTAATGAAATGCTACCATTCACTGTCGCCAAACACAAAAAAACATGAGTTGATGGGATCATTATTATCACTTGATCATGCAATCTTAGTTCATAATTAATCCAACAGTCAGCCATCCACCCAAATTTACCCAATAAAATTATGTGTATGTTTGGGTGATTAGGGAAGTGGAGCTTGATACAATAAACCCACACCATTCACATGGATATTTTTGTGCTTAGAATGGTTGTATCCGTACATTTTTTTCCTAACTAGGGTTTACATTTGTCATATTTAATCATGTAAACAGTGCTATCCTCTCTTTTTAAAGTAGAAAAATGTTGGTCCAAAATCAACAGTACAAAACTACAAATTTTGCACTAAAGTTTGTGTAAGGCAGAAGGAATGACATCGACTTTGGAGAAATTCAGGAAACTGTAGCCTGTTAAGGTAATGTCCTAGAGATTGTGGCACAGAAATGTCCATAATTGAAGAGGTATATCCTCTGCAAAATTTAAAGTAGTTTTGAGTGACGTACTATGGACAGAGGAAAGTGGTACTGATTATAACATGCATGTTATCCAACTCATCCTCTTAATTTCCTACTTTAATGAGACTTTACATATGATACAGAGTTAAATTAAGCTAGTCTCTTTTATGTGGGTAAGTTTCATTAGCCATGATTACATCCCCAAAAAGCACTGCAACCCTTCAGGAATCCTGCAATATATTTTTGTTAATAAACAAAAACCATGTAAAAAAGGCCTACCTTTCACCGAAAAGTGCCAGCACACACCAACACGTTCTTGACTTTAGATTAGGCGCATTATATACACTCCATTAAAAGTATAATTCAAAGTCATCACTACCCTTCAATCCTGCATGAGTTCATTTAACTTTTACCTCACTCCAGCCTTTCTCTTTCCACAATAGAGATCATTAAGAGAAGAAAGAGAGATTGGTTTCCTTAATCAACCTGTCAGCTGCAGAACCATGAACTATTGAACTGACAAAGAGATATTTGGGCTGCTAAAATATACTGTTAACAGTTCGGATTCTCGAAGGACTAAAATTTCTTGGTGGGAGGTTGTTGTTCACAACTTTCACAGGAAGTACCAGGGCTGAAATCTGAATTAATTTGGCAAGGAAAGATGGTGGGTGTTGTTACTGTTGCTGAACTGAAACCAAGTATATCTGGGAAGAGATATTTTCGTCCAAGTTCCAGCATAAGGCATGCCACTGAATGGTAACTTTCTTCTTCTTTGCTGTTGTCTATGAAAAAACTAATTCTGTTGCACAGTGATTTTAAGGTTACTTCCACACGTACATATCGTATATAGTTTACTTCTATTCTGTACGATGTATAAACGCAAAACTTGGCTATTAGATTTTAAGTTGTTGGGTTTTTTTTTTTTTTTTTCTTTTTTCTTCTGTTAATATTTCTGCATTTAATATTTACTTCTGATGCATGGAACTTTGAAAATCTTTGTTTTTTTTTTCTTATTTTAGGGGAAAAAATTCAATAGTATTTTTAATTAAGATTGGAGCTTTGAGTTTACTTGCCAAACAGTTTCTGGAACCTGAGTAATTGACTCAGATTTTGAATTTAATTTCGAAAGTGACATTTTCCAACTTTATTCTTTATTCTCACAACAAGAAAAAGAACAACAGCAGAATTTATGGTTATATAGTATTTCCTAGGTTCATAACTTATGCAAGAGTGCAATCTTTTTTATATATATATAATTTTGGAATAGTCTGGAAAGCGAACTGTTATCAGAAAAGTACATGGATTTCCTAGGCTTTCCTTAAAGCTTGATATCAGGCCATTTTGATAGATTCCCTACCCATTTCATAGGGGCTTCAGTCTGTTATGAGCCTCATCTGAGGCCCCTCTAGTAAAAATTAAAATTAGACAGCACCACTTGCTGATAAACTTCGAATACAGTCAGCGTCGAGTGACAGAACAAGCCCTTTGAGCCTTGATCTTGACCTTGGAAGTCTTCCACCCAAAGTGACGGCACAAGAGGCTTGGCTTCCGGATGGGAATGTATTCTTATCCTACACAATCATCAACACATAAGTTGTCAGTTTTCCCATCTGGGCCCTCCATGTCGAGCCATGGATTCAAGATAGTTTTTGACCATAGATTGAGATGTTCAATGAATGTAAAATAAACTTTAAATTGACTGAAGCAGTGGCGAATTTATGGGTTCAAGCATGGGAATGTCTATGGCAAAAGGAACAATATGATATGTAATTTATTGGCAGTAACAAGCATGTAGAAATGCATTCATCTCTCTTTCTTATTTCCTAGTTTTTAGTCTCTATGCAGCATCATTTAACCTAGTTATCTATCTTGCAGGCCCATTTCTGATGTTTCTAGTGATCTTACAATTGAGGTAGGAGCATCAAGCTTTGCACTTCACAAGGTAACGTGAATCTGTTTTGGCATTTTTTGGCAGCAAATATCTAATTTATCATGGTGTCTACAGTTCACTTACATTCGCTGCATTACTGCAGAGTGAAAAAAATGTCCTTAAGTGAAAAACCTGTGTTTTTATGATTTCAAGATTGCATTCACAACATATGTGTATAAAATCTATGCTTCCCTTGAGCCACAGAATCGTGGGAAATCCTTTTTGAGATCCAATACTGAAAATAAAACTATGAACAGCATTTATTCTTTCATTTTTTCCGGTTTATGGTTATGGTATATTTTAAAGGTCTTTACCTCGTGGCTAAGAAATTCTGGTTGCACCATTGCAATTAATAGAAGCTTTATTCATGTGGGTGCAATTTTTCTTTTCAGTTTCCTCTAGTTTCTCGGAGTGGAAGGATCCGGAAGTTGTTGATTGATGCAAAGGATGCAAAAATTTCACGCATAAATCTCTCTTCTGTTCCGGGTGGACCAGAGGCATTTGAGCTGGCTGCAAAGTTCTGCTACGGAATAAACGTTGAGATTACATTATCAAACGTTGCAATGTTAAGATGTGCATCATATTTCCTGGAAATGACAGAAGAGTTTGCAGAGAAGAACCTGGAAGCTCGTACAGAAGCTTATCTGAAGGACATGGTGCTCCCAAGCATATCGAGCTCGATATCTGTTCTTCACCGTTGTGAAAGCCTCTTGCCTATAACTGAAGAGATCAATCTGGTTAACAGGCTTATCAATGCAATTGCTAATAATGCATGCAAAGAGCAGCTCACTTCTGGCTTATTGAAACTTGATCACAATTTTTCATCAAAAGCTACGCCAAAAAAGGAACCAGAAACACCATCTGACTGGTGGGGAAAGTCTCTGGCGGTTTTTAATCTTGATTTCTTCCAACGAGTTTTATCAGCAGTAAAGTCGAAGGGTCTAAAACAGGATATGATCAGCAAAATTTTGATAAATTACAACCATAATTCTCTTCAAGGTCTGGTTGTCAGGGACCCTCACTTTGTAAATGGAAGCCTGTTGGATTTGGAGCTGCAAAAGAAACAAAGGGTAATCGTTGAAGCCATGGTTAGCTTACTGCCAACTCAATCAAGGAAGAGTCCAGTTCCCATGGCTTTTCTCTCCAGTTTACTGAAAACTGCAATAGCATCATCAGCATCCATTTCTTGCAGATCTGATTTGGAGAGGCGGATTAGTCTGCAACTTGACCAGGCAATTCTTGAAGATATCCTAATACCAGCCAATTCAAACGGAAACAATCATATAACCATGTATGATACAGAGTCAATCCTGAGGATCTTCTCCATCTTTTTGAATTTGGATGAGGATGATAATGAGGATAATCCCTTGAGAGATGAAAGTGAAATGGCATATGATCTTGACAGCCCAGGATCTCCTAAACAAAGTTCAATCCTCAAAGTATCCAAGTTACTGGACACTTATCTTGCAGAAGTTGCACTAGACACAAACTTGTTGCCATCAAAATTCATTGCACTAGCAGAACTACTTCCAGACCATGCTCGCATTGTTAGTGATGGATTATACAGAGCTGTTGATATCTTCCTCAAAGTGAGCATCTCACAAGAAAGCACTAAGTAGTTCCATAGCAAAGTTACCTTTAGGTATTTCATAATTTTATTTCCAGCTCTTACGACCATTTTCTACTTCTTTTTACAGGTTCATCCAAACATAAAGGATTCTGAACGCTACAGACTATGCAAAACCATAGACTGTCAGAAACTATCTCAAGAAGCCTGTAGCCATGCAGCACAGAACGAAAGGTTACCAGTGCAAATGGCTGTCCAAGTGTTATATTTTGAGCAAATCAGGCTTCGGAATGCAATGAGTGGAGGCCACAATCAGTTCTTCTTTGGTGCAATCAACGGTCAGTTCCCTCAACGTTCAAACAGCGGTGCAGGAAGTGGAGCTATCTCACCAAGAGACAACTATGCATCAGTGAGAAGAGAGAACCGAGAGCTGAAACTTGAAGTTGCAAGAATGAGAATGAGGCTAACCGACCTAGAAAAAGATCATGTATCCATGAAACAAGAGTTGGTCAGGTCTCATCCTGCTAACAAGTTATTCAAATCATTCACCAAGAAACTAAGCAAGCTCAGATCCTTATTCAGGTTCAACAATCTGAAGCCTATAGGGGGTAAAGCAAATTCAGAATCTCGATTCTTGTTCCAAAGGCGAAGGCGTCACTCGGTATCATGACTATTTTAATTGTAAAAGGTGTGAATAACTGAAGAGTGTATAGTAATTATGTGTAGTGTGGACTCTGGAATTTGTGGTCTAATGGCAGGGTTTTTTTTTTCCCTTTTGTTTTTTTTTTTTTTTTTGTTGCTTTGAGTGTTTGATTTTGGAGTTGCTTTGTTCAGTCAGATCATTGCCTTGACATTTTGGGAGAGAGTCTGAGAGAAGGGCAAAAGTAGTCAAAACTTGTATCTTAAATGCTAGCTATTTGCTAAATGTGACTGTGAGAATCTGCTTTTGAATGAAGTAGAAAGATTGACAGACAAGACAATTAGACGACCTTTTCCACCATCACATTTTTTATTATTTATTAGCCCAACAAAAAAAAAAAAAGGAAAGAAAAACCCACCATGAAAACTCTGCGTTTCATTTACGACCTAAAACCTTTCATCGAAACGTCACCGTCGAAGCTTCCTCCTGGAGGTTGGCCTGTGCCCTAACCGCTCGAAGACTGAAAAATCCACCTTCCTCTCCTCTTCCCCTCTCTGTTGTTACTTGTCGCTTGTTCTTCAGATTGAAACGGGACGCTTTGAGATGCGGATATCTCTTTCTAAATTGACAAGAAACACTAATATTTTAGGCCATTTTGGGTTTCGAGATTGACCCAGCACTAATATTTTTGTTAGATCGTCGAAATTGGAACCTTTTTCAACTCAGTTTAACCACCCCATGTATGCGCGCCAGTCTCTTGCTTGGACTGGGTCAACGTGATGTGTTTTGACTACCATGGGGGCTGGGACACGTTGGCCACTGCGACGCATGCTTGGCTAAGAGTTCTAACTGCTCTAGTTGAGACTGCTGCTTTCTTTCCAGCTACTGTATTACTAAAAGCGGCCATTAATGTAGTTGCTTTTTCAGCATTGTTTATATATATATATATATATTTTTTTTTTTTTGAGTTAGCGGCCTTAAAAAGCAAGGGAACTTGCCATGAAGTTCCCCTTTTGCTCTTTGTTGACTTCCTCAGCATTAGTTACATTGCTGAATCATACTCAAGAGATGCTTATTAGTAATTTTTTTTCCTCTTTTGTCCATAACTTGATATGCTTAGTTAATCTGTCAATTTCCAATTACTTGGGGCTGCTTTTCAAGATTATTTTCCATTAAAAGGTCACCAATGCATAATACAATTGAAGAGCTTATTTGACACTCCGGAATAGAAAGTCAGGACAGCTCAACAATGTAAGTACTCAACCTTGTTAATTCAAGTCGTTTACCTTGCTGACTTTGAGTTCCTGCTACTGGTACATGGACTGCTCACCTGAAGCTTGTTGTTCTGTTTCTGCTCCTGTATTTAATGTGCTAATGTTCCCAGGACATAGTGAACTTAATGCCAAGTCCAAGGTTTGAACCACTAAATACAGCATATAATAGCAGATGCACCTTTATTTAGCACAGACAAGGGATATTACATGAGCAAGTTAAAATACAAGTTCCTCCTAAATTTAGTACAACCCAGCCCCAAAAAAGGTGTACAAGGATGCTCTGCAAAAATATCTAAACGGTGATAGTACTCATTGTATATACTACAAAAACCAAAAGGAAACACAGACAAAGCCATATCACTTATTTGAGTTTGTTTAGCAGCATGGCAATGAACTTGAGTATAGAAAATTACTTCACGTTTCAAATCCATATAGCTCCAGCTCTTATGAGTAATTGGACAAGCTGGTTCTTGACTTGGAGGCTCATGACTTGATTAGGGCCTCCAATGAGCTGCTGACCTATGAATACAGCTGGTACACTGGGCTTGCACCCCATCTGCTGCAGTGCCGTTTCAATCTGTTGCCCGTTCTGAATTTCATCCAGCTCGTAAACTTTAGGATTTGCCCCAAAGCCACTTATGAGAGTCTTGATGGTATGGCTCATGCAACAAGTGCTCCTGCTAAAGATCACCACTGGCCTGTCAGCAACCATCCTTGTAATCACTTCCATTGTTATGCAGCAGATCAGAAGAGTACTTGGAAATGTGAGTGCTATAAACCTTCTCGGGGGACTTTAAAGTTTTAAACTGCTTAGTCCTGATGAGGAACCTAACCACCCTGGAGACATACTTATACTGTCCATGAACAGAATGAAAAGGAATAAAACAATCCAACAGAGCATCATTCCTAAATTGCCCTTGATGATTAATAATAAAGACATCTATACATTCCTATATTTAGTACTAACAAGTTGCATAACAGTATGCTAATGCACAACATGTGACAATAAATGCATTTAAAATGAATGCATTATCCTTAACATAGTCAACAACTAAAAAGAGAGCAAAGTCTTTCTGTAAGGAATACTGGAATAGCATAACAATGCTTGACCATGAGATGTTTCTCCTTTGACACCCCCCAAAATTGAAGAATTTCTGATAAGAACCAATCTAATATTTCTGCCATGGAAAATTAAATTGCTTGTCAAGATTTAGTTTTGAGTTTCTTAAAGTAATTGATGTTTACAGAAATGAAATTGAAATGTTCAGCAGGGTGGAAACCCTGTGTCCACTAAGGTGATTAACTCTTTCTGGTTTTATTTTTTTTCCCGGCTTTCTTCTCCCGTAGTATTTTCCTGATTTTTTTCCGTAGAAACTACCTAAAATTCTCCATCTATCTTCAATAGCGGCATCTTTGCTGAAGTGGAAAGAGAAGTTGGGTTTGTCCAATTGGATAGCACTTTTTATTTTCCATAACAAGATTCGCATAAGTTCAATTCAAGAAAACCGAAAGCCAACAGAGAAAGAGAAGGAAAGGAGAAACTTGGAAAGAAAAAGATGCTTACTTGAGAGCCACTTGCTCTTAATAGCATTGAAGGATTACAAAAACAAAAGGTAATGGCCGTACAAGAAGAAAGAAGAAGATGCCTTGAAGTCCCACAAACATTATCTACTTCTCCATCTCAACACATTACATATTTACTTGCAAAGAAAGAAATGAAGCTGAGATATTCTTCCACATGGAACACCATTGTTAGTGCACTAAGCTATTGGAAATGCCTATTATTATTATACTAAACATATAATTTGGGTTGAAAAATGGAAAAATGTCGATTTAATATCAATTAGGCATCCAATGGTGAGTTTAGTTACTTTAGTACAATATAAGAAACAGCTATCAGTGACCCCAAAAGTCCATATACTATTGCATCAAAACAAGGACTCGAACGCGGCTAACATTTTACTAATACTATTTGCAGTACATGAATTATCAACAGAAAAGGGTTGGCTAATCGCCAGATTCGGATTCTTAACATATCTTTGCCACTTATGTGCTTTTTTCTTTATAAAGGAGGTAACATCCTACAAATAGAGAACTTGTAAATATTGAGATTTGAATCTCAAACTTGCTGGACGTTACTTTTTAAGGGTAATTGTATGAACCAACTAAGCTCTTTTTTAAACTCCAATTATGGTCATCAATTTGACTAATGCAAATAGGAGATCAGAAAAACTTCATCAGAAAAGATAATGAGATATTGAATCAGTTAACTTTTTTTAAGCTTAATGTATTCAAATAGGGAACCAGTCTTCCACTGCAAAATGCTGCTAGCAACTTTTGCTGATTTAGCTGCTGGTTTTTAGAAAAATCATAAGATCACACAATCTAACTTTGACAAATTGTCAAAATCTTGTGGTAGCTATCTAGCTTGTGTGAATAAGGAGCAGAAAACACCAGAGTTTATATTTAATGGACTGCATATAAATTCTATACATTGTCAGTGAATAAAAATGTGACACTCAAATTCCAAATCAAACAAATCACAGGATAGCATGTGAAGATAATGGTTGTTTAGCAGTTTTTAATGTAGTTCAACTGTAGGATGCAAATATAGAATTTTCTTAACAGTTAAATATTGTGCTGATACTTTGATACTCCATAAGATTTATCATATGGTCTATTGATGAATTACAACTTTCATAAAGTCCTTTGACTTTCCTTAGGAAAGATCTTCAAGGAGCTATAATATATATATATATATATATATATATATATTATATGTCAAGAAGGGGATATTTGCCTATTTGGTTTCATCTTATCATCTATCTGATGTGAGCTTATATTGCCATCATCGCTGCATAGATTTTGGTATTAATTTTTTTTTTGGGTACATAAGATTTATCACATGGTCTATTGATGAATTACTACTTTCTTAAAGTCATTTGACTTTCCTTAGGAAAGATCTTCGAGGAACTACATATATATTTCAAGAATGGGGTATTTGCCTATTTGGTTTCATCTTATCATCTCTCTGATGTGAGCTTATATTATCATCATCTCTGCATAGTTTTTGGTATTAATTTATTAAGTCAGAATATATTCCCATTTCAAAAGAGAATACACACTAAGATTTTATTTTTTTTTTAAAGAATTTGATATCATCTCTCATGTTATAACAACTCGATCCATCCTCACTTTATCCTGGAACTTTCAATCCACCAATTTGAGTCACATGTATGATGCATCTGCTTTTCTTCTTTATCTGATGATAGCATAAAAAATTCTGATTTTTTTTAGTGTATAAGGCATTGTGCGTAAATAATCTTCGAGTACCAGATATCACCACGTATATCAGCAGCCAGGCACAAATGCCTTCTACCAAAATGCTTTTCTTGTTTTTTCATACTTAATTATTGTTCAAATAACAGAGATTCGAACTTGAAATTTTCTTTTTTTAATAAAAATAATTTGCTTAACGGTTTAGATAAACATATCAACCATATCAATGTACCTAATTTAATTGATCAATATGCTTAATATGTATCAAAGAATATGTGAAGTCATGGAGTTTTTCCTTTTCTTTGTGCAGAGATTTTTTCTGTTTTCTTTCGGAGTTTTTTCTGATTCATTCATTTAATAAGCACACTAAGCAATACTCCACAAATATATTCTTTGATTTGCATGAAAGAGAGATAGACAGTGATAACGAGGATAAGAAGTACATATGGTAAAGACACTGATAGTAGGGGAATGTCAACTTTGGTGGATGCAACTTTACATGTAGCAGTACTTGAAGAGAAAAAAGAACAATGCGAAGTCGGCTCTTGGCATCACAGCAACGTGGGTTTTATTTAGGTTGTTGAATCAGTGCTTGTTAGAATTAATGGTTTTAAGTTGTCACAACTCAAAAACCTACTCTAGTATCCTAGAAAAGAAGATATTAACCACAAGTTGCATGCTTTGCCCCTAGAATAAATTTTTTTTTCTCTGGATGCAAAGCAAACCAGTGAATTTTCCAGAACATTTCTTATCAAGAGTTCCAAGTGGCAGTATAATAACAAGATGCAAAAACACATGATAAAACGACTGTCATCTTTTTACTGTTGTTGATGGAACCAAGTTATTCCGTAAATATAAATTATCATGATCTTCATCTGGAAGCTGAATCTTTCTAGTGTCACCAAAATTCTTAAGGGGGATGACAGCAGGTGGCTTTGTTGTACCCGGTCGAGCAATTGTTTTCTTCTATTTCTTGGACCACGTGCCTCACTATTCCATGTTTCTTGTCTTGTCTTCTATGCCTGATGTGAAGTTGGTGGGTTTTGGCCCGCACGTCTTAGTTTCGCCCTTTTGTAATTGTCAATCAGTTATCTGCTTATCTGTGTACTCTGGTCTGTTCTGGGGTAATCCATTCCATTCCAGCATTTCTCCTTTTGATATTGCAAGAAATGAAAGAGACTCCCTAGTTTGGATGTTTTCCAATGATCATAGGCCTTTTAAAACTTTGCAGTCTTTCGAACCTATCTATTTGAAGTTAAGTTTTCTAGTTATTAGATTAATGGTAACTTCATTTTCGGATGAGTCAAATTAATTCAAAATTTCAATTACAAAGTCCATTACTGAATTAAACCAAATAATTTTCAGTATTGCCGGACAAAAATCAAATTGAATTTTAACAAAAAAAGAATAAACCAAACAAATCAATCACCAAGTTTGAATCCCTTTTTGTTTGTTTTTTCATTTTTGTGGTCATTCCCTATGGTTGGAACATTATTTTCCAATTTAGTTGATACTTATAATTAGATAAGCAATGTGCTTATCTTTTTATTTTTTTGAAAGAAGCAATTTGCTTATCTAAATTGCCCAAAAAAAGAATAATTAGATTCATTTTCCTCATCATAGTGTTAGTACCTTTTGAACTTGGTAAGGGCTCAGCTCCCAACCATCCCTAAAGAGAGGGCCCTTCCTTCTGGTAGGTCCCGTATTCAGCCTCCAGTGGCATATGGTGGACCCGTCCTTCGAGTCGGTTACTAGTAGTTCATTTTGGTAGTCATGCGAAAATAAGATAGATAATAATGCATCAATAACTTTAATCAAAACCAAGTTTCAAAATTTAGTTTAGAGCCAACATCTGCTTGCTCCATGAAAACATCATATTGTAAACATACACATAGAAGGGAACCTTTCACATATAACTATATTATACCTATCTGATCAAATTTGGGATGACAGAATTATAGTGCTCTCCAAGCCCAAAGGCATGCCTATGGTATGACAACCTGATAGTCCCATCAGCTGAAGAGGACCCTCCATCAGATTTGTACTCCTTTCCCATCTCTACATCAGGAAAAGATCCTGAAAATATCATGATGTGTTTTCTCAGGCAGTGAGTTAAAGCTCCAAGCTCTAACTGTCCTCCCCATGCAGCAGTTGACTCCACCTCTCTACAGTAGTTCTCGAATCTCTCTGCTAATGAATCATCAGAATCTCCATCTACGGTATTCTCTGACAGGAAAAAAGGAAGAAAATCAGATGCATGTTTCCTCATATAAGCAGCAGCCATTTCCCGCAGCTCTTGATATGTACAAGGAGAAGAACCTCCAGACAGAAGGGCCAGCTGATCTTCAACAGCTCGGTAGAGGCAATGTCCATCAGGCTTTATTTCATTAATTGTGAATCCCAGGGGTTCGAGTTTTCTCTCCAATTTCTCATCCTCAATCATTCTATCACTCACAATGTTGCTCTGCTCTTCTTGAATTCGTTGTTCTCGAGCCGCTTCTTGCTGAGCTCTTTTCTCTCGTCTCTTTGCACCTTTGCTGGGCTTTGGATGATCCTGCTGAGGAATAACAGACACTCCAGCTATGGCCTTCACCAAATTGTCAATATTGCTTTTATCATTTCCATTACTGTAGCCTAGTGAAGCAAGCTCTTCAGCATGTTTTTCCTTAAGCTTAGCAGAGAGCTGAGAGATCTCTTCCTCCACCTGCTTCTTTTTAGCCTTCTGTTCAGCCTTGCTACCCTTTGCTGCTGCCTTTTTCAGCTCAATTTCCTTGTTCTGCAGCTGAGATATCTCTCTCCTGCAGAAAAGGATGAGAAAATAAATATTATAGAGAAAAAAGATAGTATTTAAGTTGAAAAAAATAATCCCAAGTAAACATGCAGTGGGCTAAATCCTAGCAAGCAAAATGCATGTTTTTGTCTGAATTACACTTGTCAAATCAAGGCATAGTAATATTCATATATCAGCTTATTTCATAAATGGCAACTAAATTTGCCTTCTTGTTAAACCATCTACATTGTGCCAGGAAACAAGCCGGATTAATTAACTAAGATTAAATGTGAAAGCAATCAGGAAGCACATCAGTCAATCCTCCAAAACCATCAATAAAACTATAGCGATAGTCAAAAATGTAAATTAGATACGATCTTATTACCTGTGCCTAGAAAGCATTTCATCACGAGTTTCCTGCTTTTGAGATGTACAGGTCAAACTTTCTTCACATGGTTTGCCATCCATGTCTTGAACATCTGCCATCTGAGCACAACTAAAATCACGGTAGATGATAACATAGAGGAAATGGTAACCTTGAACTAGGAAATACCAAAAAAAAAAAAAAAAATCCAAAATATCTCAATAAGGAACAAAAGGTGACATGTAAAGAATATGCTACAATCAAACAACAGCTATGCTAGTCTAAGCCACAAGGATGCAGCTAAACAGGTGAAATTGCAATATTTGATTTCAGCTTTCCAAATATGCACATGGTCAGTTGTGCAACCAAAATAGATTATCCATGTATCTATGAAGACAACCGACATTTTTGCCAACATAAACTTTCTTGATGCTCTTGCTAAATGCCTAAATGTATAACTCTTTCATTAAACCATGTTCAAAAACAATGCTTAGTTATGCAACTTCCTTCTGGAACTCTAAATCCATGCATTTGCCAAAACTCTAATGATTGTGTCTATTTATGAAGCTTCCGATGCGAGTAAAGTAACCAATTAAACAGAATCTTAAAGTCAATTGCAATAGAAAAAGCACAATTTATTCATTTCAAACATGAATTAAATTGAAATCAAACAGCAACTAGCAACAGAAATCCCACTTCTTATTTATAATCAAACTGCCATTTACCAAACCCAAAAGTGAAAATTATATTAATAATTTGTTAACCGGGAGTTGAAATTGGAGCTTAGTTCTACAAAAAAGCAAAGCAACTAAAACATACAATTGACATTCTATTGATAATTGTCTTTTGTATTCTACAATTCTCTAGTATAACTAAACAATGAACGAAACACAGTGAAAAAGCAAACCTTTGGAGAGAAACACAAAAGGGGCTGAGTTAGCTAGGGTTTTCTCGCGTCCAAGTACAACCTAGAAATCTTGAAGAAGGAAAAAAAAAAGCCAATATTTATTTAATTTATTTTGCTGTCTTAGGAACTTTACAAGGAAAAAAAAAGTTAGAAAGAAAAGGGAAAAAAAGCAGCAAAAAAGAATTGCTTAGTGGGCTGAGATGGGCTCCAATTTCTGCATCTCAATATATTTTTGTTGGTAAAAGCACCTTAGGTAAAATTAATTGAAGCCCAAAGGCACTGCCAGGCTCTGTCTATAGGCTTAAATCAACAACATGATAATCAAATTTTAATATAATTAGTGTTTTTTATATAGTATAATTTTTTAATTTTATAAGTAAGATTAAGAGATTTATATGTATCTTATATTTTAATTAGAGCGATAAGTGTGTGGCAAGCAAGTATCATGTTGTGAGTCTGAGAGTAGATTAAGCAATTTGTGTATTTATATATTGTTTAAAATATTAAAATTTATATATTCATATAATATTTTACATAAAAAATATATATCACAATTAATGTTTGACATGAAATTATAAAATATATATTTTTTTTTTGTTAAATTTGCATGCTAAAACTTATGTTTTGAGGGAGCATATGACTTACAATAATTATACTGCAATTAATTAATCAAATTTTAGAATTTTGTAGGATTTATCAAAATATTATGTAGAGTCTACTCTATTTAAATAATTATTGATTGTGATTGAATAATTATAGTATTATATATAAAAATTTATAATTAAAATGCTTTCTTGTTTTTATTAAGGTTAATAAAAGAAAAGCAAAGCAAAGCAAAGGAAAGAAAATAAGGAAACCTTTTTTCAAATTTCTTTTATTTGGATTTCGCATAAATTAAAATAAAGGAAAGAGAAGGGACTTAGCTCCTTGATTTCATTCACGTTCCTTTATTTTTTAATTACCTCAAATTGTGAGAAAAGGAAAAAAATTTTTAAAAATTTAAAATAAATATTATATCTTTATTGTTTTTATATTTAAAATAAAGTTTTCTTATTATAAAGTAAACCCCTAACAAAAAAAAAACGATTTAATTTTATATTATCTTTTTAATACATAAATCAATATATATAATCGTAAAAAAATTGATGTACCAATTAAAAAAAAATCAAATTGATATCCTAAGTCACATGATAAATATAATTTGCCTCATCATTTGTCTAGTTAAGTAATATATCCAAAAAATTAATTTAAACACATGTATCATGCACTGTGGTTAAAATTTTAAAAGATATTTAATTTTTTATAATTGAAAAATATTATACATTATTTTTACATTTTAATTTGATGTTTTACGAAATAATTATAAGTAATCGTTTCCCTTCTTTTTCAATTTTTAATCAAGGATTGTTAGGATTCAATTTTTTTATTAATTTCAGCCGTCCAAACATTCCTCTGAGAAATCTCTCGTTTTTCTCTTTACTTTCCTTGTTTTTTTTTTTTTTTACTTTACTAATATTCATCCATACATAGCGAAAGAGATGACGCAAAACAAAGAAGATGCACCAACTGCCTAGCCGATGAAGATTCGGATGGTTATGGGAGGGCCAAGTAGGTAGTCTTGTTTTTTATTCTCTTCTGGTTTTTCATCGACCGTTGCTAATTAAAGTGTGCTGCCCTTTGCCATCTTTGCAAGGGCAATTTACAGGGATGGATAAGCCCCAAAATATTCCCCCCACTGACTACACAAAGATAATCTATATTTGGAAGCATTTTGTTTCTTTTTATTTATCTAAATCAGTAAACAAAATTGGCTGTTGAAGCTAATAAAAAGAACTAAAAGAATTAACCAAATTGTGCGTCACTTACTTCATGACATTTTGCTTTCCCCAAAACCCTTTTCCTCTTTCTTGATGTTTTATATACCATGAATTCGATGAGGGGGACCAATGCAGCAAAGTGGGAATGAAATGGATAAACTCGTATCTCTCTCTACGTCAGCCAACCAATTCCACCATGACAATCTACCAATAAATAACATGAAATCCAAAAGAAAAAGGCAGTTTGAAACATTTTACTGCTCTTGCAACTTTCATCAACAATGTAATAATAATCAGTTGAACTTTAAAGGCAATCAGTGCATGATCTTTACTTCCCAGTCCATGAATTAAAGATTACTTAGCAGGAAAAATGGCATTTTGATGGTGGGTGAGGAACCTTCTTCAGTTATTATCAGCATTGTCATGCTACGTAAAAAATATGCAGATAAAATCGATGTCTCAAGCTTAAAGAAAGTGATTCCATTCCAGGTCAATGACATTCGGAATTGACTACAGTGGAAAAATATATTATTAGTACTACTTTATTATTGATATCGTTAAAGTGTCATTATTCTTGTCTCCCTTCCTGCATTTATTTATTTATTTGTGATGCTACCAGCCAGAGCCGAAAGTGTTTTTTTTTTTTTGGTTCCTGTTTAAAGATTAATTTATTGATTATATTCCCAGCACAATTTACTTGTACGGACAATCCAGGAAATTTGATTTAGCAATATGGCGATGGATACTAATTTCAACTTGTTTATAGTATACAGGGTCGTCACTATCAAAACATATCATGGGGGAGGGTTTTTCTTATCCAAACAAACATCTGAAGGAACTTCCTTCTTTTTATCCTTTTACATTGTTCTTATTATGTTCTTTTATTTTTGCGTTAAACAATGCACTCCAACTCTCTCACCAGGCCTTATAAATAAGAGATGATGAAATCTCAAAGTCCATCAGAGCTAAGCCTTACCTCATTTAAGCTTCCTACACTAAGCCTGCTCATTTGTCTGCCTGTTCACCTTTCTTTCAAGCTTAATTCTGCTACACCTTTTCAGCTTCTTTTGCCACTTGGCTGCACTATTTGTATCTTCTTTTATTATTCAGATTGAATTTGTTTCCTTTTTTCTTAACAAAATCAACGAAAGCAGCTTGTCGTAATGGACAGAGTAAGAGATCTGGCATCGAAGAAGGCTGCTGTGATATTCACTAAGAGCTCATGTTGTATGTGCTATAGCATCAAGACACTTTTTTATGAGCTTGGTGCTAGCCCTGCAATTCATGAGCTTGACCATGATCCTAGTGGGAGAGACATGGAGTGGGCTCTACGAGGGCTAGGGTGTGATCCCTCAGTCCCAGCTGTGTTCATAGGTGGAAGATTTGTAGGCTCAGCAAAAGATGTCATATCGCTTCACGTAGATGGATCACTGAAACAAATGCTCATGGACGCCAAGGCCATCTGGTTCTAGCAATGTTAACAACAACTTGCCTACTGAAATTTGCTAACTTAGTACTACTGTAAAAATAAATCTAATACCTTGTTGAAAGAGAAAATGTCGTATTAGGGGCTTTGCTTTTTCTTGGGTTCCTTGAATACATTGTATGGAAAGCATGACACTTAGCGAGAATACCTAAATAGTTAAATATATTGTACACGTTATCTTAAATGTTTACAGGTGCCTTCTTCCATTTCCATGGGATATGAAAACACATCAGGAAGTACAGACTTATGAAAGTAACCAGGCATTTCACTTTGTAGGGTTCTTTACTATCTATCAGAATCAGACATATAATGGTTGGCCTTAATCAAATCTAGGATCAGACTGTGTCAAGAAATTCCCACTGAATAATATTTTAAAAATTTCTCCTAAGCAAGCTAAACTATAATAGAATAAAGTTTTCACGGCCACAATGGACATGACTGTTCTTCTGGTGATAAAAAATATTGTTCCAAATTCCAATCGAAAACTTATCCACTTACAAAAAGTAATCCCCTGTGTCATGAATTGACTATCGCAGAAGCAACATCAAGCTGATGAAATTCCTGAGGATATGGCAGATTTTCAGTGCTTTTCTTTTTAAGGTGTTAATTAATTTTAAAAGTGACGTCAAATTGCTGGGTTCCTTGCATTGACTAGACGCTTCAGTTATCAGTCAGCTAGTTTATTTGATGATTTTATACCAATTGATATGGCCTTATCTGAGAGACAAAAAGCTGATGCTTGAACTTTTTATGCCTCCATTCTATTCCTCCCCATCTAAATCCTAAAGGCCAAAAAGTTAGGTTTTTATTATGCATGGAAGTTCCTACATGCATGGATGCTCATCCTCATGCACGGACCTTTATGTAGTTATGGTATGGATATACATAAAAATATCACTTGTTAAATTATTCACAATTTTGCAAACGTGTACCTTTAATGTATCTACCTCATGGATACTATTGTAAAATGTGCACTACTTGTAAAGCCAATTATTTACTATATTCTTAGCTGTGTAAGATAGCATGAGAGAGACACCCTAATTTCGTATCGAAATATTTTAAAAATTTATTATGATGTATAAGTAAATATTTAAATTTAAATTTATAAGATTTTTTTGTGAGATAAAATTATAAAATTTTCATATCAAAATGAACAATATCTTACAAATTATACGTTGATCTCCACAAATGATATCAAAATAATTATCAATCGAACGAGAATTAAATGTTACACCATAAGAGCTATATTTAAAATCTTATGAAAATTAAGTACTATATAGTAAAAAGTATTTCTTAAATCTCAACTCTAATATAATCTTGATTATGTGAATACAATGCTGTGTTTTTGTCTATATTTTATGTTAGATTTGACGAAAATGTCAAATGTTAATATAAAAAGTTTGTGACAATCCAATTTTATATCAAGATGTTATAAAATTTTATTATAATATATAAATAAATATTTAAATCTAAATTTATGAAAATCTTTTTATGAAATAAAATCGAAAAACTTCGTCAAGAGAGTTCTTACAAAAGAGGAATGGAGAATCCTGTCCCACCCTCGATAAAGGAAGAGTTGTTGTCATTACACGTGTGACCATTCACCATTCACCATCCACAGGCTCACTCTCATATGTGATATCGCTATCTAAAAACGAAGCACCCCTCTGCATGAAGTGAAGTGAGCCCATATGTGTGCTCACATGTGGGAAGAATCATACAAGTTGGTGGGGCAATGTAAAGAATTACAGCCACCGAAAGCCATCACAGTCTCAATCTTTCTGCACAAGGATTCAAAGGAGTAGATTGTGAGAATCTAATCTAACAAGCTAAGCTCAGAATTTTCTACTTTTGTTACATCTTCATTGAAATTAGAAAGTATTCATGCCCATATAAAATCTACAAAAATAAGTTGAATACATGGTTAGTAGGCCAAACTCGTTGGTTGCGAAATCATTAGTAAATAAATCTTGCCACTTAATCGTTATTTTGAACCATCTGTTTTCAAAAGTGTACATATCAGATGGCTAAAGGCTTACAGTCAAACACTTTGACGGTTTATGTAATATTTAGTAGAAAATTTGATTGCCAACTTGTTGAGCCCATGGAAACGCAGTAGTCCCCATGCCATAAAGCAACTTTATTCGTTTTAGCATCTAGATAAAGCATATTTTCTTTTGAATGTTCTTGTTCAAACTAAGGAGTGTACTCTATGCTGTCCCTATAAATACTCCAGCATGGGAGCTTAACTTCCAACAACCTTGAGCTTTGAACCCTTTTCTCTCTTTCCCACTTCACCTTCCCAAAAGCCAACCTCCTACTACCTTTGGATCGAATGCAGTCTGAATTCGATCCGATGGTCTTTAAGCTTTAAGTGAAATCGACAGGTAACCAAGGGACTTCTCCAACTTAAACATTTTCTCTGTCCCTTTGTTACTTTCTGTCTTCATTACAGAACTTTGCACATATTAAGCAAACATTGTCAATCAGGATTTCAACATGGACAAAGTGATGAGATTGGCCTCAGAGAAAGGGGTAGTGCTATTCAGTAAAAGCTCATGTTGCCTGTGTTATGCAGTCAAAATTCTATTTCAAGAGCTTGGGGTAACCCCTACAATTCATGAGATCGACCAAGACCCTGAAGGCAGGGAAATGGAGAGAGCTCTTATGAGGTTGGGGTGTAACGCGCCCGTTCCAGCGGTCTTCATTGGTGGAGAGCTGGTGGGCTCCACCAACGAAGTCATGTCCCTCCATCTAGGTGGAGGGCTGATACCTTTGCTGAAGCCCTATCAGGCTTTGTGTTAAATTAAGTACTCCAATATCACACTGAAATAATAAAATTGGCTCAAATCAGTAGCATCTAGTCATGAGCTGTGTATTGTGTAGTCTGTGTAGCTTTCTACGTCTCATATGCTCTGCAGCTTTAGGTTTAGCTCTGTAGCATGTAATCCGTATCTATTTCTTAATGAGAAGTTAACTTTATATACTTTCCTGCTTTTGAGCTTGCTTTCAACAGAATTTGAATTATTACTGTATATTATTCTCGGATGCCTCGCTCATCAAGGAATCACTTTCTGCAATTATTTTATTCATTCGTTCAATTGTGAAGCCTTTTGTATAATGTACAAATGTAAATATATATATATATATATATGAACGTGAACATGAACAAACTTCTCATTGTTGCAGCATCTCTTGAAAGTGCATTTACAGATATTTCCATTTCATATCACAATATCATTTGTGAGTGTGTGTCTGAACTTCAAAACTTGAATAAACTTTATGTAATTAGTTTCTGCAAAGCAATATGCCATCTTTTATTTAATGGTCCATCATTCATTGTAAGATCTCAAAATGCTAGATACTGGTGATAAAGTGATTGGGCTTTACATTGAAGCATCATGATAAAATTCCCCCATGATCAATCTTTCAATATACGCAAGCTAAGAACAATTGAAAAGGAGTTATTTCAGAATAACTTCCGAAACATCAAAAGCTTGTTACGTGGAGGGACCTAACCGGAGTTGAGGTCCTCAACTTTGGAGACCCCTATTGCATTCCTCCACATGAACAAAAAAAAAAAGTTCTAAAAGGAAAATTCTGAACTTTTTCTCTTGTCTGCTACCATTGGTTCTTCCAAACTTTATCTTAGATAAAGAAAGGTATTGCATTCCTTGCCTTTTATTCTTTAATTTAATTTACTTTTGTTCTTTTTCTTCTGAAACGGTAGACAAGTGATTCTCAGTCGATATCAATGGTAGGAAACTTCACCTCAGACTTTTCAACAAAAACTTGGTAATGATGTATTCTTCCTGACTGAACTGATCATTTACATGGCAATAAATGTTTTAGTTAAGGCAATATTCGATTCGATCCAGAAGACAGTGAAAGAAAAAAACTTTTCTGTAAATAATGTCTACAATAGATTCCTCCATTGTATATGGAGACAAGCATATGAATGCTGTAAAAGAAGGCAAAAGCAGAATCAATGGAGGGGGAGTTCTACAAAGGGAATCAGACAATATTGGAACTCATCAGCTTTCTAATATTCAATCTTGCCATCATGCTCTGTGGGGACTCTGACCTTTCAACTGTTTTTGAATCTTTTTGATCATCAATAAGAGGGGATGGACCGCTTGAACACTCTGTTCTATCATCAGACATTACCTACATACCAACCTGGGTTGTGATACTACAAACAATGCTAGCTTGTACTTCTTTTGTTTCTTGTGTCTCTGCCATATGAAACTCACTGAGCTCTTCCACTGCTTCCTATGCTTAGTTTTCTCTAAGCATTCATTCTCTTGTCTATAGGATAATTTGATTTATCTTCAGGACTATAGAGTTTGAAAAAATAATCATATACATATTTCACACATCACAATAACTAAAGTAAGAGAGCAACGAGGCAAAAAAATAAATAAAAAAAAGATCTGAATATTTGGGGATAAAGCTATGTCTGAACGAAGAGAAGCACTTTCCCTCCTTCCCTTTCTCTGCCCACCCACTTTCACTTGCCTTGGTGGGTTGCAATTATCAATCGCAATCGCATCATGGGTGTCACAGTCACCATCTTCCGGATTATATTCTCTCTTGGCTTTACAGGAATGACCAAGCTGAACTGATGGACCAAAACATTTCAATTAGTATACAAGGAAAAGCTTGACAGTTGACGGCACTGGCCATTGATCTGCTATAAATATTGGCATAGTAACTCCAATACTTTCTTCATTTGGCCCAAAAGCCATATATATATATATATATATATATATAGCTGAACTGATGGACCAAAACATTTCAATTAGTATACAAGGAAAAGCTTGACAGTTGACGGCACTGGCCATTGATCTGCTATAAATATTGGCATAGTAACTCCAATACTTTCTTCATTTGGCCCAAAAGCCATATATATATATATATATATATATAACCTCAACTTATAACTAATAGAATTTTAATCTAAATTTACAAAATATTATTTTTTAAAATTAATTATATAAATAAATTAATTAAGTTCTGAGTTTAAAGTTTTATAACTTATAAGTGTACACTTGATTTATTGATATTTATAATAAAAATGTTTTTAGATAATAAAAAATTTCACATGATTCAAGTTTATATTCTTTTTGGTTAAAGATGATAATGAATCGAATTTGAGTGAGTTTTTATTCGTCTTAAACTTAATCTGATTTTATGTATATATAATTTAAATTTGATCAGATCCGATGATTTTTTTCATACTCAAATCTTACCTAATTTGATTCACCTGATCCGAAATTAATAATTATTATTTTTAATATAAATATAAAATTAATTAATTAATTAAAAATATTTTTTTATATATATTAAATCAAGTGGAATCAGATTTATTTAAAACTTAATTTTGATTTTTTTATTATTGTTATCAAATTCGATCCATCAAATAATAACCAATTTAAAAAAGAAAATTACTTTAAGAGATCGAATGAAGTCGAAACTTACTGAATTTGGGTTGCACTGTCTTCCTTACTTTTGGCTTGAAAAAAAAAAGTAGTTAAATTAGTTTCAGGTATTCAGGGGAAAATAACTAACAGTAACGACCAGCCCCTTTTTCTCTATTTGTTGGTAACCGCCTTAATTATACGAGCAGCTAATTATCGAGCGCCATGTGACGAGTTAGGTTAATTTAGTCATTTCAAGCAATTTTGGTTTGACGTGGCAAGCAAAGACGGGGAAATTCACGAGCCTTAGACTACTGTAGACCCTCAGGACAATCGAGCCTGTAAAATAATAGCAGAAGTATAAATTTGGCTCTGGATTCGATCTACCATTTTATCTATTTCGATTTTTGACAACTTATCACAGAGATTTTCGGAAAAGAATTATTAAAAAAAAAAAAAAGAAACGTAAAGAGAAGGAGAGAAAAAAGAAAATTGTTTTTAATGTAAAAAAAAAAAAAGCAAAATTGTTTTTAAGTTTTAACTTCCAAACAAGGAACGAAAACTTCTCTCTCCCTTTGTTTTTTTTGGGATCAACACCGACACAGTGGCCAGAAAAAAAAGGCTTTTGGTTAATTCGATTCTCTGTCACTGATCTTCCATCAATGGCTTCTTGAGTAGGTATTTTCTTTATTTCCTCTCTCGATTATTATTTTTTTGTTTGATCTTTTGTCGTTTGCCGATGATTTTCCTTGATTCTCTCGTGTTTTGCTTGGTTGGTGAAAAAAGTGGACGGAAAAGAAAACGAAAAGAATTAGAGAAAAAACGATGTTTGTTGTGATTTCGTTTTTATGAATTGATAAAACGAAAAAAAATAGAAAAAGAGGAATGGAAAACCAGGAATCTTACCCGAATTCGTCTACATTAGGTTTTAATTACATTCTTTTCTGATTCCTTTTCCTGTTGGTTAATTAAATATTTAATAGAAAACTTGTTGTTTGATTTCAATTTTCTTCTCCAATCAGAATATAGCAGAATATTGAGATCTTTTTATTTTATTATTATTATTATTTGTGGTCGCTTTTATACGTCTGGTTCTTGAGTTTGAGTTCTGCATTTTGTTAAAGGAACATTGGCCGAGAGCTATTGACCGGGAACCTTATTAGTTATCAGATCATATGAAGTGTTCACTCTGTTGGCGAGGTTCTCTGGCAGTTGATTTGCATTCACTCTTACCAAACAAATTTCCCAGAGGATTAATTGAGGTTAGCTTAATATAATGCAATTTGAAATAAGGTATGCGTTTCCCTGCATGAGTATGAAAAATAATTCTTAAAAAAGTAACAAGAAGTTCTTCATTTTATGCTTTCTAGATAATATGATTGAAAACGTATAATTCTTTGTGCGTCTGCATAATTTAACTAGGATGGTCAATTGAGTTGATTATGCAAGATTGCAAGTATAATTTCTAAGTAATGTGAATGTTTTAGCTTTGAGTTTTAGACGTGGGGAATTATTGTGCAGGTGAGTCTGGGGAGACTGAATTTTGGGACTAAAACTGTTCATTTGTTATCACATTTGACCTGCAAGCTGGGAAACAGAGAGCAAAGACTATTATGGCTGAGGGCAAGGAGCTTATTGAGCTTAAATTCCGTATTAATGATGGGACAGATATAGCGCACAGTACTTACGCATCATCGATGACTGTTGCAACTCTTAAGCAAAAGATCGTTGCTGAGTGGCCCCAAGGTTATTATTCTTTTTCTGTTCCCATGTTTCCTCCTCTTAACTTACTCCTTGCCGAATTTTGTAATTGAATTAAACATCCTAGGTGCTCAGTTAGATTGTGCTTGTTAATGTTGATATGTATCAAATCAGTATTTCTGGTCTTTTCTTTGAGTTTATTTTCTACATTGTCTTTTGCGGGCCCCGTTATTGGTAAGTATCAATTCGGTGATGAGCATTGACTGCATGTTACGAAAAAACAATTTCCCGTATTGGCATAAGCTCATTTGAATGACATTGGTTTAACCACAATGTTCATGCATGTAAATAAAATCAGCCTCAATTTTCATTTTGATGATAGCAGTCAGCTTGAAGAAAAGTGCTGATATTGGCCACTGTTTATGAACTCATATATGCATGGGGCTTATTTATGAATGTTTATAGCGATGGAATTTGAATTTAAATGTCTTGGATGATGCTACTTCCCTGCAACAACTGACTGAATTAATGGAGCCTTCATGTTTTTTCAGACAAAACAGTCACACCAAAGTCAATAAATGATTTGAAACTTATACATGCTGGTAAAGTTCTGGAAAACAACAAAACGCTTGCTGATTCCATGATAACATTTGGTGACCTTCCTGTTGGTGTTATTACAATGCACGTGGTAGTGCAGCCTGCTTTAGCAAAAAAGAAGACAGGTTTGTCAAGTTCTCTTTCTTGAAAAAACGTGTTTGGGAGAATGTATTTCATGAAATCTTCTTGGTATTTAAGTTTGCTTAGAATTAAAGTGTCTGTTTTCTTCATCACATACAAGATTTGCACTTAGATCCTTGCTGAATTCATGGCATATAAATCTGTCTGCAAAACCCCTCCCCTTTCCTGCTACATATTTCTCGAGAAAAAGAAATAAAAATGGCAGGAACAAAATAAAGAAATTCTGTGATTTTCATTTACTTTTAAGTAAAGCAGCTACACAAAGCAATCCCTTTAATAAACCTCATAAAGCAGTTGTGAGGTTAGTAAAGAAGCAAGAAAATGAACTGAACTTAGGTTTTGTTTTGTTGACTACTTCAGTAACAACCCCCAAGGCTTATTTTGCCTTTTTCTATTTTCCTCACCCTGTCTATATTGTCATTCTATTTCCCAAAATACAGGTGGGGTTTAGGGATGCTTGATTTGAATTATTTTTGACAAATAAGCAGATGATGCATTAATGATCTTAAACTTGTAGTTGCTGTTTTCATGCTATTTAGTACATGCTTGTGAAAAGGAAAAACATGCGAACAATTCATGTTTAAGTTTTACTTATCATCAGTTCATCACTGGAAAGAACATTATATTTGTCATTAATGGAATTTCACATAACCATGTTGAGGATTGTATTCATTTTGGTTTGGATTCTGGCAACTGCATAAATTAGTCATGCCAACTCCTTCATGTGGCTTCAAAGGGGTAGAAAGAAATCATAGGTCCTAAATGAAATTTCTTTTTATTGTATGTGGATTATCGGCATCAAATCCCTACCCCTCTTTTCCGGTAATATCATTCTGCTTTTGGTTCAGTCACAATTCTTTTTCTTTGCTTTTTTGTTGCTTGCATCTGAAGAATCTGTACAGCATGCCCACTATATTTTGATCTGTTTTTGTACCTATGGTCTGATGATCTAAACTTCCTCTAACTTCTTGTTTTCCCTTCTTTTTTGGTGCACTGCAGAAAAGAGCAAGGAGGATATGCAGAAGCTGAATTCATGCGGGTGTGTTATTCTTTAATCCATAAACATGCTCTGTAGTCGTCAACTTGACACAAGAAAAATATCTACTTCTTTACATATATAATTTTGTTTGTGTTAGTCTGATTTTGCTTTTGAAATGGTGTTCATCTGTATACTGGCTGCCTCGTTATTATGATTATTCAGGTTACATTGTTCCTTCCGTGACCATCCTCTTTTCGGTAAAATTAGGCTATTCTGAGTTGCATCTTGTATAAGCTACAATTGTGCAGATGAATCAAATGCATTTCAGTTCGACCTTTTGACATTGATACATCTAAATCTAATTGATCCATTGTTGAGTAGCATGTTAAGATTTAGAATTTTCCAATCCCATGTATTCCTTTTTCCCTTTTTGTAACAATCAATGATAAACATAAATAGTCGGTGCCTCCATCTCCATAGAAAGCATTTTATGTGCTGAAATCAGTTCAATGTCTTAACAGGATGCATGTGAATGTTATCACAATATGCCCGCAACTGAAAGGAGAAAATATTCTACTAAATAAAATAAAATAAAGCAAGTGAAAACATGAAGCCAGAAAAAAAAAAAAAGTGTAGATCCTTGTTAGGTCTGGATATGTTACCTTTGCCACAATGAAAAAATTTTCATTCGCAATAGTGTATAATTAATGGATCAAAGTTATACGAGTTAACAAAATATATAAACTCACAACAGCGATAGGGATGAAATTTTTTAGGTTCACATAACTATCAAATAAAATATTTTTATAAAAAATAAATTATTTTAGAATTGTTATTTTTAAATAATATTGAAATAGTTAATTTTTTAGATGATTATTTATTTTTTGCCATAATAAATATTTATTATTAATTATTTATTTTTTCATGGCTGCCTTAAGCTTACTTTCTATTCATTATTTTCTTCCAAATTGTAAAATAAAATATATATATATGAAAAGCCAAAAATACATTTAAAATTAAAAAAAAAACATGTTAATCAAAGGACTGATCCAGGTGTCATTCAATGAAGTCATAAAAGGATTGATCCAAGTGTCATTCAATGAAGTGATTAAAAGATTGATCCAAGTGTCATTCAATAAAGTGATATATTAAATATTTGTTCAAATTGTAAAACAAAAAAAGTTGTAAAATATAATTTTTTATATATTTAAATAAATTTAAATGTAAAATAATTATTTTATTTTATAAATTTTAAAATATATAATTTGATTCAAATAAATTTTTTTTGAAAGTACAAGCATTTTCATGAATATTTTAAATTATGTCTTTTTTTAATTTCTAAAATTTTTACTTTTTCATATTTTAAAATTATATGTTAATAATTTTTTTTATTTTTTGACATTAAAAGTTACAAAACTTTAATTTTATAAAAAATTAATTTTAATATTAAATATATTTTTTTCTTAAATTTTGTAAAAATCAATACCATCCAAATAATTTAATACGAAGAAGAAGTTTGAAAATTTTTCTGAAGTTTTACTAAAAAAATTTAAAAGATTTTAAAGATTTTTCATAATAAAAATTTTCGGTTTTATCGAATAAAATCGACAAGTACTTAATACAATAAATAAAGAGATCAGTGGCACTCCTACGTCCCCTTAGAGAATTGTAAACTCAGAAATCAATGTAATGTTAGATGATAGATAAGTGGGCATCGTGCTTCCCTACCACCATCCACCGCGCTAGTCGACCAACTTCTGCTGACCATTCTAAAACTTTCCACTTTCCGGTGCCTGACCCACATTTTATTACTTCTAAAAGCCCCTGTCCTGTCCTGTCTCCCCAACCGAAAGGTACAACCGATCGATCATAAAAGTTAAAAAATCACTTTCAACAAGAGGAGCAAGGAAAAAATAAACCTGAAGGAAACAATAACATTACTCTCTCCTTTCTTCAATTCTTAAGCAAAAACTGAAACAAAAAAGAAACACAACCCATCAACCACACATGACTGATCAGAAAAACAACCAAAAACAGAGGAGACTCTGTGATTATTGTAACCAACCCAAAGCTCTTTTATATTGCAGAGCTGACTCCGCCAAGCTTTGTTTTTCATGCGACAGGGAAGTTCACTCTGCCAACCAACTATTTTCCAGGCACTCTCGGTCACAGCTGTGTGACTCCTGTGACAATTCCCCTGCTTCGATCTTTTGCGAAACAGAGCAATCTGTTTTTTGCTCAAATTGTGATTGGGAAAGCCACAGGTTTTCTTCATATTCCTTGCATGATAGGAGGCCTTTAGAAGGGTTTACTGGGTGTCCTTCGGTGAGTGAGTTGGTTACTTTTTTTGGGATTGAGCATTTGGGTAATAAAGCTCCGTTTTCGAGTGAAGAGAAAGTTGGCTGTGGAGGTGGTGGTGAAGATGATGGGTTGCTGGATTTGATGAGTTGGGAAACTCCTGTGATTTCTGGCTTTGATGATTTGATTGATTCGAGTGATTTCGATCATGGGTTTAATCCTACGGATGTTCCTCCTCTGCCTAAGGTAAATATCAAGTTCTCCTTTTTACGAGTGCCATGCATGCTAATGAAGAGTTCCTGAATAGTTATTTAAAGATTCGATGAAGTTTGAAATTTTGGGTTGTCTTTTTGTTTTAGAGAATTATGTCGGTGAGCGTTGTGATATTTGCTGTTACTTGAACTTGTTTTTGTGCTGTTGAGTTTGTAGCGTGATTAAATTTTTCATGTTCAATTTCAATTAGTGAACTTGATTTTATTCTGGTTTTGCTGTCTTTATTTCTGACATAGTTGTTTAAAATTTTCAATAAAAAAAAAAAAAGATAAATTGTTTACCATTAACCGCAAATTTCATAGCTTTTCCTACATTTTGTTCCTTGAGAATGAGGCTCTATGGTGTTATACATTCGATGAAATTAGGGTTTGTAGCTCGTTCCGATCCGATTTTGCAGGGTTTATTTTTTTTAAATGAATTTTGGGTCAGGTTGGATTTTAAAAAAAATTTGATCGATTCGATTTGATATATATATTATTTTTTAATTATTTAAATAAGAAAAATTTTTTATATTTTAAAAATAATATTTTATTAGTTTTGAGTTGAGTTGTGTACTATTTATATAATATCATGTTAGATATAAAAAATTTTTAAAAAAATATTTTTTTATCAAGTCGGTTTAAGTTTTATATATATAAATTCGGATTGGGTTCGAAATAAATAAAAACCCATCCCGACTCAACTTATTGTCATCCCTAAATAAAATTAGTAATTATGGATGGTAACGGATCGGGTTGAGATTCGTGTTTGTTCATCCTGAATTCGATTCTACTTAAAATTAATAAAATATTATTTTTTAAATATAAATATAAAATTAAATAAATATACATATATAATTAATTAAAAATTAATTTTTTTTATATATCGGGTCGGATAAAGTTAGGTTTGCCTAAAATTTAACCCCGATCTGACTTCAAAATTTTTTTTTTATCACTTGACTTGATCTGATATTTGATTTAAAAAAAAAAAATGATCTTAAGAGATCTGGTCGAAATCTATCGGATATGAATCAAAATGTCTTCCCTATTGGCAATTAACTATTTTGAATATATAACATGCTTCAGTGTGCTGTTTTTCAATCAGAATCGTAATGCTTCTTGTGGACAACATAAGGAGGAGATACTTCATCAACTACGTGAACTGGCAAACTCTGAACCCACCCTCAGCTTTGAAAAGAATGATGTTGAAGCCATTATTGGATTCCATTCACTGATACCTGAAACTGATAATTTGCAGCCAGGAAGTGTGCATACAAGTTGCAAATATGATGCATATCCAATTTCATTTCCTGCTTGTGAGGTGAGCATTTTCTTTTCTTCTCGTGTTCAACGAGATATTTTTTCTTGGCTTATAGTTTATGTCGATGAATGATTGCAGCATTTAATCTGCTTTTACTAACTGGCATCCAATACACTTGTTCGGTGTTTATAGATCATCTTAAAATATAAACTTTTCCCATTTGGTTAACTCGTTTATCAAAAATAGAGGGCTATTCTATTTTTTCTTCATGCAGTCAAGTCCACCACCATGCTTCAGTGATAATGTTGAGATGGGCAATCAAGTATTTCTACCTTTTTCACAATTAAGAGGCTGTACTGAGGAAAGTGCTATGGTTCCTGACAAACGTCTAGACTCTAGTAGGACTATCCATGTGAATGATAGTCTTGAAGACGAACAACAACATCAAATTGCTGCTGGAACCTCATCAACACTTCCAAGGTTTGCTGTCCATGAGTTAAATAGCCAGGAGAGAGTCTCTGCAATCTCGCGCTACAAGGAGAAAAAGAAAACAAGGAGGTATTGCTTCACTTTGTTTCTTACTATGACCTCTTTAATCTGTATTATCAAGCATTAACTGAAAAAACACATTAAACTATCTATTGAATGGTTTTCATGACGGTAGTGAAAGTTAATTCCTCATTCTGCCGCTGCAGTAAAACACATGATTGATAACCGATTCTTTTTCTTTTGGTTGCTAGAGTTAGATTGAGCCAGAGCATAGAAAAAGTGCATGGGTCAACTGTCAAGCCACCTTGATACAATTATTTTGGATTTTTGAGAATTTGGCATCAAGCTGATTTAAACAGAATAATAAGGACTTGTTTGAATTTTTATTTTTCTGTTGGGACACAGATTTTGGTTTGTCCTATTGCATAAGTATTATGGTCAATCTATGAACATTCTTTCACCTCTCTAAGATTCATCCATATCTTGTTGTATCTTCTGCATTTCGATGAGCAAACACTGTTTCTGTGGAACGTGACAGATATGATAAGCACATCAGGTATGAATCAAGAAAGGTTCGAGCTGAAAGCAGGACAAGAATTAAGGGTCGTTTTGCAAAGGTGGAAGATTGAGATTCTGGTAAACAATTGCGAGACTGGAATTGCTATAACTTTGTCATATTTGTTAACTAGAAAACGTTTTCCTTTTGTTCTTTTATGTATACAGGTTCTTACTTGTAAATTATGAAATTTTCAAATAGTGTTTAGCTTTTCTACCTGAATCGTAAAACCTATATCAGTGGACATCACAAAAGAGAGAATTCTGGCATCAACAAGATCAATTTAATCTTCACTTTCCTATCAAGAGGACACGTAGAAACCGTGTTACAAAAATTAAGATTGCTATCAGAATTTAACCCTATATCAGTGGCACAATCAGATTTCTCAACATATGGCAAGCTACACTACAAACTTGAAAAACAAAGGCCAAAAAAAAAAAAAAAAAACAAGCTGATTTGGGAAAAGTTTGTGATGAAGAAGAAAATCCCTTCACAACCCTTACCAACCTATACGATGTGCAACAACCATGGGTCGCCGGGGAGGTTGGTTGACACAGATGAGCATGAGAGCGATAGCGATAACTAGAGCAAGGAGAAGTCCCATGATGTCAACGTTTAATTCTATGCAGAACTGCGCCATCTTCAACGCTATGAAAACCAGTTTCTTTTATTTGTTTTCTGCCCCAGTGAAGAAGTAGGAGAAAGGAAAACAATTCATGGGGTTCTTAAATTTATTTAAGTCAAAGTCAGGTATGGAAAAATTTTTATCGTAAAAAGTAAAAGTATTTGCTTTCATTTTGGTTATGTGAAGTGACCTGTGGGACATTCCAATGTGGTTGTTAGCTGCAAAATCTTGAGTTTCCTTGACTATCTACATGGCAATGACTCCATGAAAACAAGGAGACGAACAAACTCAAAGCGGTTCCTACATAAAATCAAAGCATAGAGACGTTGAGTTGGTGTTAATCTGATAAAATTTTTAAAAACTCGGTTAAAATCAGAACAAAAGAAAATTCAATTCAATTAGTCATCAGTCATAACTCGTAACCATCTTGGATGAAGGCAAATTTACATGAACAAATTTATGACTGTCTCTGATACATGAAAAAGGGCAAAAATAAATAGAAATGGACAGCTATGCAAAAGGTAAAAAAAAATGATGATGCAGAGCATTAATATTATTAGAAGTAGTAAATATTTTTGCAGTCCGGGAGGCCACTTTGTGCCATCATGATTCTCTAATTGCACCAACTTTGTTCGTTTCTATTTCAATGCTATTACTACGATTACGGCTGGTTAGATTATTATGCAGCAAACAAAGTAGGGTCACCTTTTGCATTCTTTTTTTAATTTAATACTGGGGTGGGGGATCACTTTTTACTGGACCAAACCCATAACAAATATTGATGTCCTGTCTGTCCTCGAGACACGTAGCATCAAGAATTTGACAGTGTGATATCATGATGATGAGGGATCAACGCAGTGAGAAAAATATATCAGAGAGATGAAATTAGCATTAGCAACAATCATAAGTAACACTGAATATTAAATGATGAATTATGATCCATCATAAATACGTCGAACGTGTGCCCATCATCCTCATTTCCATGCCCCTCAGTTATAATTTCACCAAACTCACACGAAATGAGAAAATCCCGTTGCTTTTTCGTACAATTTCTTCATCTTCTTGAGCTAGAATTTTGGCCAAAAAAGAACAGAACTAGAATAGTAGCGTTACTTATTAATATTTCTATTTCTTTAGTGTATTTTAGGATTTCCTTGGTCGGTTTTTGTTATTATGTTGTTTTTCCGTCTCAATGTATTCTATTTTTGGTTTCAAACTTTAATACAGATGATTTTATTTTGGTTAGTATTTGGGTATTTTTAGTCTTATCTGATGTTTCAATTCAAAAGCCAAAGGAGGCGGGAGGGAGGGGGGGGGGGTAAGTGGTCATCAGAGAGCAGGTGGTAGTGTAGAAAAGAGAGCGTGAATGAAGCAAAAGTTGTGGACGCTAACAAATGTCACAGAATCCATCACGTGGCGCAACAGTCGAGGCGAGGCTCATAAACATGAAGGAGGAAAAAGAAAAAGAAATGAAATGAAATAATAAACAATAAGGTGAAAGCTCCCAGACCTGACCTGAGAAGCTGAGACCAGCCTTTTTTTCTGACTCTACTTACTGACTCAGTAAAATATGAAAGTAAAGAAGGTAAAATCATTTATAAATGTTGGGTGTACTGTTGGATTGTTTGATTATCATAAGATTAAGTATCAGATTAGATTATAATCTTGGATCGTTTTAAAAATGATTGTTCCATACAACATAAAAAGATTTTCTTCTTGTCGTAGGAGTCTTGCTCTTTCTTGATGCAAAATAATGGGAAGGGGGAAGAAAAAAGGAGTATTTTTTTTTAAGCATACAATAGCCTCGCATGTATTCTCACAAAACATAGCAGTGGTGGAAGAGGTCCTCTAATGCACAGACAAAATCTTTTGTTGTTGAACGACTTGAGACAGATTCATCCCAAAGTAACTTTGCCTAACTCGGGGCATAGCTTAACAATGAAGCTTCTCCAACAACCTTGTAATAAGATCATCTTTAGAGCCGTCGGATTCTCCAAATTGGAAAAGGTAACAAAACAACAATTTTGAATACCAACGGCAATAAGCAAATACCATAACACGACTTTAAATTATAATTAAATAATCATTCAATCTTTTAATATTTTATTCCAATCAATCAAATTTTAATCTTCTATTTCGACTTAATTAAACTTTTAAATAAATGAAATTTAATCACTCGTTAATTTAATATCAATTCTCGAATTACAATCAACTAAATCTTTATAAAAATCTTAAAAATAGAGGAACAAAAAAAATTATTTTATTTAATTTTCACATATATTAATTACATTATACAATAAATTTTATCTATTTTATTAATGTCATATAAAATTTTATTTTAATTGACAAAAATTAATGATAATAAGTTTTTCAATAAAAAAAAAACTCAATTATTGAAAGGATTGATTACAATAAAAAATAAAAACTAAAATAATCTTTTAATTATAATTTAAGAGCTTTAATAACCTTTAGCCTACTATCAACTTTTACAATAAGGGTTTTAAGTAGCCTGCGGCTTTTCATTTTCTATCTGTCCTTTAAATCTTGGGGATAACCTAAATCTAAGAAACAGGCTCGAAGGGGATGCATCGGTGGCTGAATGCTCATATGCTGAAATGATTCAAAAACCCCCACTTTCCGGCCACACAAGTATGGATTCAGAAATCATTCTTGTTATGAATACTTTTAAAAGACAAATGGCCAGTGATAATAGCTAGCTGAGACCACAAATTCTAGATCACTACAAAGCAATACGTCATCTGCAAATCATTCTAACAAATTTATACCTAAGTAACCGACCTTCTTCTCTGAAGGTGTTGAAGAGAACAAGTAAATGCAAATTTCAAGCAAGCAAAGTTGGGGTTTAAAAAACCTACGAGCAACCAATGCGCAATACTAATATCATGAGCATGGTCATAACAAAGATGAGTCGAATAGTTGGAACTTTTATTACTCCATAAGGCTAACAATGACACAATTACATCCACAAGATTACTACCCCAAAAAGGTGATAGAAATGCATAAACATCCAAGTCTGCAAATAGTATACAAGGTAACTATGGGGAAACAAATAAAAACTCTGACTAATACACAACAACTGGAGTTTCCATCTCTTTATTAATCATTACTTGGTATCCAATAGCTCAGCCAGGTGTAAAATGAGTGGCAATCGAGCTCTCAAGCCATTTATACCCTCCATATTATGTTCCCACTCCTATTAGGTCTGCTATTACATTAAGCTACATAAAATTAAATCGGGAACAATGAGTAACATAAGGAGTGTGTACCTGATACATTCATTCTCGAGATCAAATGAGCTTTAACACGTTGCCTAATTCACAGGAAATCTCTCAAGAAAGCCTCAATGAAGAATCTTCATCCTTTGTCCAAACAAAAGGAGGCATGTCAACCCTTGGCCCAGCAACAGATCTATATATGTAGAGCTTATCAACCGGGCAGCTTTCTGGTCTTGAATCTGGATGTCCCCTTTCATCTATTACTTCAACATTCAACCTGGGCATCTTCTGACCTAGCAGCTTACATGCTCCGAAACTCACAGAGCAAGAAGACATCCAAAGGGATCGCATTGTCTCCAGCTTTGCAGCATTGGCCAAAAGAGCCTTGTCCCCAAAGGGGCAGTCCCTAATCTCTAGTTTCCGGAGGCTTTCACACCCAGAAAGTACATGATGGAGTCCCAAGTCACTATCTCCTGCAAAAGCCACAGACAGCATCTCTAGCTTTTTCGCATATGTCCCAATATAGTCAAACACACGATCAGTGAGGAGACCTGAGAGGGAAAGGCGCCTGAGATCCTTGCAGTGCTCAACAATGGCTCCAAAACCAACATCAAGTGGCTCGTGGGTCAGGTAATCTACCGTTTTTGGATCAATTATACAAAGACGAAAACGGGTCAAGTTTGGGCGGTTTTGGGCAATGGTGACTAAAGCCGCATTAGACATTTGGCGGCAGAAGTACAAAACAGACTCTAGCTTAGGACAACCCCACGAAATGGCGACAAGGCCCTGTTCTGTCAAGGATACATTTGGCTCCACACCAAATGGGTCGGATGGAAACACCCGTAATTCCTGTAGGTCCTTGCAACTAGATGCAAGTGCTTCCAGGCCACTATCTTCAATGTAATCAAGTACCTGTGAGCATAACCTTAGCTTAGAAAAAATGACAGAAGCAAGATCCAATTCATTTACCAGAACATGTTTATGAGACCAGCACAGTTTAAATGGGATCCTTAGACCACCTAATGTTCACAATATGTTTAGGGTTTGGAAATATCTCAATGCAGTGCTCAATCTTGTTATTATAGTTAGAAAGTCAAATGCAAAGGAGAAACACTAACAAAAAATAAATAAATAAAACAATGATACCATAAATAAGCTTACCAATAGGCGCTGCAAACTTGGACAGAGGCTTACAAGCTTGATAAGATCAGGATTTTGTATAGTAGCAAAGCTCAAGTTCAGTGATGTTAATCTAGAGCAGACAGAGTAAATAGCAGGAATGTAAGCTGGGACCGCCTCCCAAAACCCAGACAAGCTCCTTAGTTCCTTGCAACTAGAAAAAGCACCAGCCAAGTATGAGAAGACATCTGGGCGTAGCTCAGCCGTGTAGGTACCAGTGCCAAATTCAACCAGCTGTGGTGCACGGCGTAATATGTTGGCAATCTTATCAAGGGGCACTGCTCGATTGAGCAGAAGAGTCCTCAGGTTGGGACATCTACCCACCAGGCGCTCCAAGGCTGAGAAACTAACTTCATCAGATCCTAAGCAAGAAATGTTAAGAGACACCAGGGATGTGTATGTCTCAGGAAAATGACTGAGCCAATGCCCACTCAAATCATCCACTTCACTGTCTCGCAAATCCAGCTCTCTCAGATTCCTGCATCAGTAAGCAGATTGATTCATAAAAAATAACATAGCAGGCACAGAGAAAAGGAATAAAAACAAAATTTTGCATGTAGAAAAAACGCCAAATCAAATACTGTAGTTTTACTAAATTAAATCCAAGAATGAAACATAGAAAATCAAGAAGATCTAGGTTGTTGAACAAAATTAGAAGTTCACCACTGTCATTGTCATTGAAAACAAGCAAGACTACCACGCTGAAGTTACTTTCTTCTTTACAATTGAACTTATAAGAAAATAAAGTTGTATATTCTTTAAGAATCCCGTTGCTTAGCCAACCATAACTATCACTATACAAGCAAATAAAGTTCTTCAAATCAAAGAATACAAAAATTCCAAGATGGAATTAAAATAACATAAATATTTACAGCTATTAACGAACAAAAAAATGACCAAATGAAAGGGCAAATGGAAAAAGACCGTCAGAAACTTCAGTAAAAGGTTGGAAAATTATTCCCTCCATCCCCAATTTACAAAAGATATTCATTATTTATAACAATTAATCAAGAGAAAAGGAATCTAGTTACAGAGAAAAAAAGAAGTGCCACATTTCCCAGGAAGTAACCATTCAAAATCTGAAAACAACCCCAAACGAATCAGATGATAACAAACAAAACAACCTATCCTCGAGGAAAAAGAACAAGTGATTTTCGCTAGATTTCCCACGTTAGATAGTCTTAAAAAGATTAAAAAAAAAATAGCCCCACTTAGATCTGAGAAAACAAAAGCAGAAAAATAAAAGGAAGACAACTAAAATAAGAAACAAAGCATCAAATCTACACTACTAGATAACATTTAAACTAAAGAGAAATTTATCTTTTTTAAGACATCTTATAAACAGAATAAAAACAATTCCATTCAGAAAAATGTAGCTAAAAGCAAAAAGAAATTTGAGTAAAGCTCAACTTTAACTCCCACAAAGATCCAAACTTCAATTCTTTTTCTCACTACAAAAGCTAAAACAAAAAAATCCCAAAGAGGAGAAGTGAAAAGAGTTCATCAAACTCACTTGCAACTAGCAGCAATGGCAGCGAGTCCATCAGTTGAAAACCCTTCACAAGAAAAAAGCACCAATACTTTGAAATTCTTAAACGACTTAGCAATAAGCTCCAAGCTTTCGTCTGTAACGACCATCCGTTTAAGCCGAATCTCTTCGAGCCAAGGGTAGGCGCGGGCCATCTCCAAGATCCATGGAAAGACGTAACCGCCCCAACCGTCTGGTACCAGATTGAAGTCCGCAAAGTGCGGTTTCCCTTTCAACTCTATGGATCTAACTTCCGGGAAGCGTCTGATCACAATCCTAGGGTTAACAGCGTAACAGTTCCCGACAAATATCTTCCTCCGACACCACCGTTCGATATCGTACCACGATTTACACACCATCGATACCGCGTTTCGGTCTTTATCTGATTGTATGAACGAGAAGACGTGCTCCAGCACCTCATCGGGGAATGAATACGCCATTTTCTTCTGCATTAATTAAAAATCGAAAAGAGAACACACAGAGAGGAAAGAAAGAGAAATGAAGCCTTCTGATTGAAAAGACAAAATTTTTTTCTCTATTTTGCTCTTGGGTTTGGCCGAGATTTGTGCTTTGTTAACGTTTAGAGTTCATTTTTAGATCTGAATCGCCATTAACGAAGCTTTTAGGTGCAGTGGTTAAGCAGCTAAAGAGAGAGAATGCGAAGTGAAAGACAGATATAGGATAGGAGAGGATAAGAATTTTTTTTTTTTTGGGAAGAAGGGTTAGATATTAACCATGGTTAAAAAAAAGTGATGCGAAAGAAAGGAGGAAGGAGGTTTCAATTTTTTCATGTGGGGATACTAATGGACGTTTAGGATAGTGACTCTTAGGGAGGAAGAGATGTTGGCCGTAGGATGGGCGGTGGGAAGGAGAGATCTTATCCGTTGGCGACGAAGCGGAGCCGCAGAAAACGGGTGTATGCAAGAGTGTGTGGGGGCAGTGGTTTGGCGAGATTTTGAGGAATATATAGGAAGGGAGAGGGACGAGATATTGGGGAGGAAGTAGGGGCTGATAAAGTGTGATGATGTGTAGGGGAGAGGTGGTGGTGCAAGGAATCTCATGATTCGAGGAGCACGGCTGGATCTGAGGGATCGGATATTGCGGGGACCACAAGAAAGGGGTTAGAAATAAAACAATGAGGAATGATCTGATGTGAAATTTGGTTTCATGACATCATGGCCGTCCAATCATATTCAACTGTTGCATTCAGAATATCACACTATCATTGACCTCCTTGTACTGCACCATCAATTTATTCATCTTAACGGCCTTGATTTATTTCATTATTATTGATATTGATGAGCATTGATGATGATTTTTCTCTCAATGATAAATCAGTTTCTTTTTAAGAAAAAAAAGTAGTAATAGTAATTATAAATTTCACAATAAAAAAAGAAAAGAATTTTAAAATACTTAGCAGTTTATTTATTTTATAATTGGTTTTTTTGTGTCCAAAAAGGGCGTTATTCCAGAAATAATAAATAAAGTACAAACGAGTGTAGGGTGCATCTTAATCAAGACCGTCAGATCAGGGTCCTTTTCACAGTGTACGGACGAATTACATAACCTAGAGAATGGGCTCACAATGTAATAAATATCTTTTTCCAGCAAATGGTAAAAAAATTTTAAAAAGAAAAGGTTAAAGCGTCCCCGCAATTTTACTGAGGTTGCACGTACATGGCAATGGCATCAGAGAAAATAATTGATTCTTTAATTGGTCTTTAAGATAACAAAAATACCCTTCATCGGACCATGCAATTCACCCTTCGTTCTCATAAAATGGAAGGGTAGTGTTGTCAGTTCGCGAAAAGGACATAGTATTATGGGATTGCACTGTCTCCATGGAGCTGTCCTTTACCATGTCGGAAAAGCTGAGAGAAGTTAATACTCGACGGCCCAGATATAAAGTTGGTAGAAAGAGAGAAATCTGGATGGTTGGATGGCGTTTTCTTTTGGGTAAGTGTCCGTATCGATAGCAACCGTAAGAGCTTGTCTCTATTTGTACTGTAACGAAAGTAGAAAGAAAAGGAAAAAAAACTTATTATTAAAAATGAAATTATTAAAACAAATTTCAAAATATTTTGCTCAGAAATTTAGGTAATAATTCGTTTAATAAAGAATGGAAGAACTGAGTTGTCCAGCATGTAAAACCCATTGTTTAATGGGAAGAAATCGCGATCAAGATTAAAAATTGGATGATTAATTTAATAATAAATAATGATGGTAATTAATAATTAAGCCCACGCACGGTTCTCCGGGAATCTCGAGTGGGATGGCCTGGACTTTGCTGTATGCTTCTTGCTGGTGTGGTGATACCGTCAATCTAAAATTTTTGAAATCTTTTAGGAAATCGAATTCAACAAAAAAAATTAAAATTAATAATAAAGAAGTAATTGAGTTTATTATTAAAGAATTTGAGATTGGTGGACTTTGTTATAATGTATTCGGTCGTAGTATCATGTACAGTCTAGAACCCTAAACCTATAGTAAATCTATAAAATATTTTTGTTAGTTTACTAACTTATAGTAATTGGTTTTGATAATAATTATTATTAGAAATATTATTATATAAATATATAGTTAATCCTTTGCACGTGAAGCGCTTTGTCCAACGTCAAGGGTCGGAGAACAAGAAATGCGTAGCGAGGATTTAGCTACCGCTTTGTAAGAATTAATGAAGGACCGAAATCCATGCCGACACACATATGGAAGTTGCAAGTTACAAGATTAACAAAATTTATAGTTTCATCATTTTTTTTCTATCTATTCATGTTTGATTTGCATGTATTAAAATGATTTACTATTGATATTTTAATATTTATTTTTTAATAAAAATGAGCATAAAATAAATAATAAAAACAAAAACATCAATCAAAACCTTAATAAACTTAATTTTAATTTGAGGTTTATCAAGGGCATGTCATTCAAAGGCTTTTTGAATCATAGAGACAGCCAATCTTGTCTAGACGTAAAATTATGTATCGATTTTATTTTTAAAATTTCTTCGTATGGAAGAAAAAATGGTTGTTATTTCTTTTATTAAAAAAAAAAGTAAATACCTCATAAATTCTGAAACTCGACGGCTCTAAAGAACCCAATTAATAATATTGGCCTAAAAGCGAGCAGCATCGGCGAGGGCAGTGACAATGAAGTTAAAGCATTAATGGTGTTCCTACAATCAGATCCTTGATGCCGATGTCCAACATCATGCATTTACTAATGGATTCTAAGTACCTCTCATCCCATCCATCACACCTTGGATCAACTTCAAATTTGACATTTAAGAAATATGCATTTATTATTGTGTTATAGTCAACAAACATTTGTTGTTAATATTTTTATTTTTATTTTATGCTTTAAAGTTTTACTTTATAGCAATAAATAATAAATTCAAAAGTAAACAATAAAACAACAGGGTGAATTAATTATTTACTTTCATCACACGGTCCATTTATGCAAGTAACTTACGTTATTATGTTACCAATCTTACAAGTTACAATTCGGTGCGAGGGGGAATAGGAATAGAGAAAAATGACAATGATTGATTGTGATATTTTTCTTCTTTTTTTTTATTTTATTTTAAGGGAGATAAAACCTTACATCAATAGAGAAGAAAGAGAGGTTCCGATCGAACTTTAATCTTATATCTTATTTAAAGTTTACTTGATTACTAGATAAAGTAATTAAAGATAGATTAATTGTGAATTTTCTATAAGACAAAGGAGCTTGTTTGAAACAAAAATAAAAATAAAATAGCACAAAGAGACTAACTTTTTTTTTTATATATATATATATATTACCAATAGACACTAACTCCAACATGTAGAAAAGATAAAAATTTTAATATTAATTAGAGATTAATATAAAATTTATATTTGATTATACACTATTAGTATATTATAATATTATCACACCATTAGTTAGTAAATTTAAAATTTTAAAGTTTTTAAAAATAAATATTCTTAAATTATAAATATTTAATTATATTAAAATAAATTAATAAGGTAAAATTTATAATGCACTGATAGTGTATATCATATGATTAAGAATCTAAATAAATCCTTAATAAAATATGATTTTTTCCTTAAATCATTTTGCACGTCAAATGATTTAAATCACAATATAAAAACAAAAGCTACTCGTGATGGAAAGCGAAGTTCTATTATGTTAATGTCATTCTTATTAATGGAATAGTCATCACCATACTTTCAATTATTTAAAAATGTTAAGAGCTAAACAACTTCAATGAACAATTTTTTATGTTATCAAATGTTTATATATATATTTTTATATATATGTGTATGTGTGTAGTCGTGAGAAATGAGCAAAATGTTTACATTTTAATATTCCATCTTATATAATTCAAAATTTAATAAGAAAAAAACAAATTGTTACTGGTAGAGTTTAAACTAAATAAAAAATTAAATTAAAATAAAAATTTGAATGTGTAAATATTTTATGTAAGAAAATATAGTTTTTAAATTCAAAAAATTAGATTAAAATATTATTACATATAAAATTAATTAATTAATTTAAATATAATATAATACATGAAATTTTTTTTATTTTTGTAATATTTAAAGTTATAAATAATTAAAATTTAATATTTTATTAATAAATTGAGTGGCCTATGATGAATTTTTTTTATAATGTATAAGGTAATAATGCAACAGAGGTAAAGCCGTTCCTGACCACAAAGAGAAAAAAGTAAGAAATGATAGAGGAAGGGGAGGGCACTTGACTACTGTAGTTTGATGGCTCCCACTTTGGGGAATCTTCACAAAAGCTAATGCTATCATTGACTGATTATAAAACCATCTTAAATATTTTCAAATGTTATAATCACAAATGTAGAAAACGTTTCAACCTTAACAACATAAATATCAATGAAATAAGGCACAAAAAATATATATATTATATTATATTTATCAAACAAATTCCAAAAAAAAAAAAAAAATGCAAAAAGCTAGTATTGTTTTTGAATAGAAGTCTTCTTTCCACATAATGTGGTTTTGGGAGGGTAGGTGCTTTGGCTTTACGCAATGTCCAAAAAGTTAACGAGAGTTGGTAATAATATAACTGTTTACCCAATTATTGGGAGACCCCATTTTGATATGGCTTTTTATTTTGTTTGAATTCAAAATTAACATATTTTATCTTAATTTAAAGAATTAAAGAATTTATTTATTTTTAAATTAAAAATAATTAAAAATAATTAAAAATAATTTCAAATAATTTACATCCCACTACTATAAATATTGATCACATAAAGTTTGGAGATATATATCCTCTTTTTATGGAAAAAAAATACAGTTATAAAATGAGGCTGTTGCTTTTTTTTTTTTTATTTTAAAAATATTTTTGTTTATTTAATTTTATAAATGTATGATATTATTATGTAACTCAAATAACGATGGCTTTTTATACACATAAATATATAAGTTTTTTAATGTAATGAAATATAATTTATATCTATAATATATAAAAATAAAAATGTGAAAAAAATGTAACCAAAGAAAATAGATATATATATATGTTCACTGTATTTTTAAATTATCATTTTAAATATTTTTATAAATGTTAATAAGATTCATTCATTTTTTAAAATAAAAACTCCACTTTCATCGAAAGACTTTTCATAAATAAATATATTTAATAAATAAAAATGAGTTAAAGTTGACATTATTTTTTAAAGTTTTAATTTTAAATTAATATTAAAAGTAATAAATTTTATGTTAATGTAATATATATGCATATTCAATTGAGTTGATAAATGAAAATAGGGAAAGATTTTCATTTTTTTTTTCAAAATTTTGATTTAATACCATACGAGTGATTTCATGACTAAACAGATATTTGCGTTTTCAGTACTATAATAAATCAAATAAATTTTAAAAAATAATAATATAAAAGACAAAACTTTATACAGTAAAAA